GGATGGGAGAAAAGGAAAGAGAAGGCAAGATAGTTGTGATTTGAGCTTATGGAAATTTGACGCCCTATGGGAACACCCTTTGGGTAAGGGTGAAGCGACATGCCACCCATCATGGTACAGTTCAAAAGATTGGTAGAGAACACTCTACTTGTTGTAGAAGAAACCTGTGCATTGTGACCAATCTGTATCACAATATTCTATTAGTCTTCGGACTCATCATCCTTTGACATCCTGAGATGTCATTGATCAGTGTTGACCTGATTGTAGTATATTGATCAGTTCTTTTTCCCCCCTCTTGTATATACTTTGCAGGCAAGCATCTCGAAGCCGATGGCAACAACGAACTCTAATAGACATGCATTTGATGGCAGAACATATCGCAAGACATCAAACCAGATTCCAATCAGAGACCTAATGGGATCTACAATTCCGGAAGCCAGTGGATTCCTTATTACAATAAAGAGAAGCCTGAATCAAAATTGACCAAAGTGCTTTGGGGTGTCGAAGTTTCAAGTGCAAAGGAAAGGCTGACAATGTAGATAGGCCAAAGCACGTGCAGTGCTTGGCCGCGTTGTAGTCATCTTCAAGTGTTGGGAACGCTGGTCGCATTGAACCTTTCAATTAACAGCCCAAAGCTCTGACCTACATCAAACACCAGGGACAAATCCATGCTTACTGATGACGTCGATCATGAAGAATGCCCATGGAGTGTCTCAGACAAGTAACTAGATGCCTTTCCCCAATGTGAATCATGTATTGAAGAGACAATGATGTTTTTCAATCTGTGAGAAAGTTTACGCTGTCTAGGGAACACAACATGACTCACATCAGCAGGCATAACACGGTCAGAACGAGCAGAAATCCAGCTTTTGAGAACAGGATACCTATCCCCAAGCAAAGCCCACATGGAATTCGGAATTTCTGCCCGTTGATCCAACAGATTAAAGAAAAGCACGTTCAACAGTAGCAGTCTGCAGTGATCGGGCGCATGCACCACGGCACAGACACAAGACTTGGCTCTTCTTACGAATCCGTTTCAAGGGCGCACATGTGCAATTCTGGGCTGGACTAACTTTAACATCAGAAGATTCAGTGAATTCAGCGTCCAATCCATATTCTTGCAACATGGCGCTTGAGTCTGGTACAGCTTACTGTAGTTGCAGTTGCCGTACGCTGGTGCTGTGCACCACAATGCTAAAAAGCTTTCCCAGACCTAGTTTTTAGATTGCACCAGGGGCAGCGTAAAGCCGTTAAATCGTAAAGTTCAATTTTCTTCAAAAAAACTCTTTGATGTTTTAAAAAAATCCCAACTTTACCACTTTATGATTTTGTGATTTAATGATGCGATTTTCAATCTAAAATGTAAAACCAAAGGTAACTGAGAGAGGGCGGAATTTAGAAATAGCCACGAACTTTTTCGCAAGACTAGGAAGGGTGTTTTGGGCTTGTTCCCGTTTCATCCTTTTCCAATGGATGCATATTTCAATCAGCAACATGACAAGAAGAATGTCAAGACTGTCTATATCCGTGTCAGGTCTAAAAAGCATGAAATCAAGCCCCCTCTTTAAAGTCATTTTCACCTTGGTTCGCGGCAATGCTTGGAAAGCAGGCACGTATGGAAGCATGGATGTTGATAAACAGGACAAGATGGACGATAGGCAAGGCGTCCCTGTGGAGTAGTTGGTAGGGCGTCGTTCTTGACGACGCGGACAGACTACCGGTGGTGGTTCGATTCCCCGCTGGTCCGCAGGTAAGCCTCAAGTGTGGTGACCAGTCGAAAGACAATGGCGCCGGCCACAAAAAAAAAAACAAGATGGATGATAGGCAGCATCCATCAATCGATTTGCATGTGCTATCACCTTGGGACATGTCAAGAACCACCACTGGTTGCTTCTTGCGCTGGAAACCTTCATGACAGACATGCTCCCAAACTGCGGAATTTTGTTCATGGTCAATGACATGTTTGAAGCCAAGCGGTGGTGTTGAAAATGAAGCAAAATGTGGCTTCATCTATTGAAATTTCGACAGAAGCGTAACCAAAAATGGAAGCAGAAAATGGCATCAGGCATTCACCGGCAAGCAGCGCAAAGTCTACTCAATAGCCTTTGTTTTCTCATTGCTGCGCTGCAGTCGCATGCGCGCGGAGTTTAAGAAAACGTTGTCGTCGTCACTGCTGGCAGGCAATCGTGCCTTCAGATAAAGCAGCTTCCCTGAAATACTTTGAACAGAAAAACCGTAACCAGGAAAAACCTTGAAAGCACACTTCAATAAATGTTCTTTTTGATGGTGGGCGCCGTCACTTTTGTTCTTCAGCACTGATGAACCAGTTCAAATCGGCGTTCCTCAAGACCCCAAGATCAGAACCAGCGAAATACTTAGATAAAATTTTCATCCATTGGAAAAGGATGAAATGGGAACAAGCCCAAAACACCCTTCCTAGTCTTGCGAAAAAGTTCGTGGCTATTTTTAAATTCCGCCCTCTCTCAGTTACCTTTGGTTTTACATTTTAGATTGAAAATCGCATCATTAAATCATAAAATCATAAAGTGGTAAAGTTGGGATTTTTTTAAACATCAAAGAGCTTTTTTGAAGAAAATTGAACTTTACGATTTAACGGCTTTACGCTGCCCTGGTGCAATCTAAAAAACTAGGTCTGGGAAAGCTTTTTAGCATTGTGGTGCACAGCACCAGCGTACGGCAACTGCAACTACTATCGGGTGACACGTTTTCATTGGTAAGAATCCGGGTGAAATTTGAAGCCGTTACCAGCTTCACGATATGTCCATGCAATGTAAATAAAAAACATGGGCTACGGACTTCTTTGCAACACGAAGCAGACGAACAGTAAGTAATTAAGTGACACCGCCGCCTTCAATGATGGCTAACAACCAAAGAAGCAACAAGTGAACGAACGAAAATGCTGCTCTCAATGATGGCAAGTAAGTAATGTATATGTTTCAAAGCTTCTCTCCAATTTACATATCCAACAAACGCATTTTGTCATCATTGAGGGCGGCGCTTCAACTTAACTACTTGATGTGTCTTTGCTAGGGAAGAAAATACAAGGGGCTCAGACTCAGAGAAACAAATCAAAATTCACAGAAACAAGCAAATAAAAACGAACCTATCGAAATAAACAAGGAAATAAAGGAGCCGACGAAATTCAGGGAAATATGCAGAGAAATTCAGAACCTTGAAAGAAGCCCGGGGATATGGGAAAGAAAAGAATTCGGGAAAATCAATATGGAAAACGCTGACAATAAAGTAGCGGTTCGGGGAAATAAATCATGAATTTCCGGATATAAATGAACGATGCAAGAAACAAATAAGGAGCACAGGAAACAACAAGAACGCAAGGAAATAAACAGCGAAGTGAGCGCAATAGTCCAAATAGAGCATGCATGGAAATACATCATGAATTCAGGGCAGCGAGCAAGGAACTCGAAGCGCTCCAGCAGCTCAATAAGGAGCTCTGGGAAATGAATATGGGACTCAAGGAAATAAACAAGGCACCTGGGGACATAAATACGGGATTGAGGGACATAAATCAGAAACCCCGGAAACAAAAAGACGTTCAGGGTCAAGAACTCTGGGAAACAAAAAGAGGTTCAGGGAAATAACAAAGCGATGAAAATAGCTTCAAATTTCACCCGGATTCTTACCAATGAAAACGTGTCACCCGATAGTATTCTGGATTCGACTTGAGTCTGGTACAGCTTATTGCTTGAGCTGAAGATACCTACATTGGTTTGACATTGGAATTGTTTATTGTGTCTCAGCTATTACGGTGGTCGAAAGACTTCAGCGATACAACTGTATTTGGCTGACCTACATTGACAATGTCGAACAGAACATTCTATTCTACATTGAGGTTTGAAGCTGTGAGATGCTATCTCTATGTGGAAAGCTGATTTGGAGAAGGAACGTTGTGTTCTGACTACGTTTTGTATCCAGAAGAAGGTTGTACAGATACCTTGTGTGAATCACTTCGTTCTTGAGAAGCTAACGGACAACGTTAGTCAGATCGTTAGCTAGCTTGCTGGTTATTCACGTTTGGATGAGAACCAGTTTGATTTGAGAACTTTTGGAAGTGTTTCGATGTTTTTGAATTCATCTAGTGAAATTGAGTTTTGTAGACTTGTAGCAGCTGGAATAGTTTCAACAGACCTTTATTTGAAGAACTTGAGGTTTGTTAACTGGAAACCTGGAATCGAGTTTACCAGTTGAGACATCGGCTCGAAGGACTGGTGTCAGAAGTTCATTTAATGAACAAGAGCTGCTGTGTCACATAACTTGACATAAGACAGATCGACAGAGGGAACACATTAGCTTCCTGTTTTGTCTTGTTTTGTTTGCTTGTTGTGTTTGTGTTTCCCTGTGACTGATCGTGTTGCGTCTGGAGCGAAAAGAAGAGGCTTGACGTCAGCATGTGGGAGTCGAGGGTGAAACAGTCTTCTTGACACGGTATTGCTTTAGTTTAATTAGGTTTGTGAATTTACGCTCTGCGCTTGTGTTTGGTGTGCGTGTTTTGACGTACGCGTCTGCCTGCGTAGTCCTGTAGGAATTTGATTAAGCGTTGGATCTGATCGCAGATCTGTGCACGGCGCTTTTTCACAGAGCTTGACTTGTCAACTGTTTTGTTTGTGTGTGAATTGTTTTTGGAAACCAGAATGATGGAATCATACATTGACATGAGACGCACATACACGCAGACGCATCACTTTTGGTTTGCTTGCTGTTTTGTGAAAATGGCGCACAGAAGGTTCTGTGAGTACCGAGACACGATCTCTTGGTAGAGATCCCACTGGTTTGTACCTGTTTTTGGTGTGATCCTGGATAGTTTAAGTAGTTTGAGTGGTGATGAAATTCATGCCATGGAACTTAGACTCCTATGGTGGGAGTGTTTGTTTGTTGGCATCTGCAGGCTAATGCTCTGGAACTTACCAAAGGGTTTGTCCCGACGTGTTCGGCAAGCCTTAACGTCACGTCTGAATCGTGCCATGGCGGAGCCAAGCCAGGCAGCTCGCGCGTCGGGAGAGGAAAAGAAGGAGGAACGGGAAGCCATGGGTTCGCCAGCTCCGAAGGAAACTTCAGAGGGTAAAAAGAGGGGACATGAGGCAGATGATGATGCTCTGGTGTTCAAGAAGCCTCGAACTCCGGAGGAGAATTTTGAACTCATGGCACGATGTACCAAGGAGCTCATCACTGCGACGAAGGTCATCAAAGATATGTTGGAAGTGATCCAAGGGCAGGATGACATCGGAGAGGCAATTACATCAGCCGCAAATGCCACCAGAAAGGAGCTTGAGGGACTGATCCATGGGATTGCAGCGACGGAGAAGGGCATCGCTTACTACGCATCGAACCTTTTTGGATTCAAAGCGGAAGTCAGGGGCCACTGTCAGAACATTAAGAAAACCATGGACTCCGGGAGTGGTGCCAAACTAAGGGTGAGACCCCTTTACACCAATGGCTGAGGACCACTTTCGGACACATGGTCATGCGCATGGATGAAATGTTCAAGGACATCGTCGGGATTCACGAAGTTCAAGTTGTTCTGGCGAGCCATCAACCACTGTTGCTGGAAGAATTCAAGAAGTTGAACCAGACCCTGCGACAAGAAAAACCAAATTTGCCGCCGCCTGCTCCAAGCCATGCGGGAGGTCCTCCAGAACCACCTAGTGTTCCAGGACGTGGTGGTGTTGCCCCTGGTGGGGCGGGAAGAGCTGGGGCAGGTAGAGAGTCGAATGCCGGGCTATGTAGCCCAAACCCATAGCTATGGGGCCAGGCATGAGCATGCCGCTGCAGTGCGACCGGAGTCTGCTTCGAGCAGCCGTCCGGAGTATGGCTATCCACCCCAACAGCCTCAAAATGGAGTCAGGTGTCTTCTACGGCTATCAGAATCGGTACGCTCCAAACCTTGATTCGAGCGACAAAAATCCACCTATGTCATATCCCCTTTCCGGAGGCTACTCCCCAAATGAAAAGTGAGCAGTTACTTGCCGTCGACCCTCAGGGGACTGTGAGATCGATTTCTCCGTCCGGATACATGAATTTTAGTATTTTATATTTCCATCACGTACATGTTTGCGCACCACGCATGTGTTTTTTAATTTCGCCCGGTGTCGGGTTTGCTGATGGGTTTGTAGACTGACCCTGTTGGGGTTGCGCGATTTCCCAAAAATTAGATCAGTCGCTGGCATCGTCGTTGTAGTAGTCGTTGTCATTTTGGTGTTTGGTTTTGTTGGTTGTTATGGTTGTGTGAGCCATTTCCGTTGATTTACTTTCTTGGACATTGCGTTTGGTGTAAGTGGTTGTTTTCTACTTGTACAAATTGTGTTGACAAAAAACGTGTGGCGAATCAGAGAAACGTCGGTACCGTACCCCCAGTGCCGCAAGACTTCTTGACAATTGTCCACGTCGAAATTTGTTTGATGAAAACCAATTTAAAACAACCACATTATTGCAAGGGCAACTTGCACAAGGAAAACACGTGGTCGAGAAACATGACAGTTATATCCATGTCTGTTGTGTTGGCGGATGCTTTTGGTGAGCAATGGGTCAGAATTTGTGCAAACACGTTTGTTCCCAATGTCAAAATTGTAAACACACATTACAGTGCAGGCAGTTCAGGTTGCTGTTCAGGGTGTGTTCCACTGATACCAAGCAATGAAGTGACAATACAAATCGAAAACGCACCACATATAAATGCGCCACAAAGACCCACCAACAATTTTTGTCCAATGCGCATATGAAGAGTATGGAATAAAATAAAATAAAATGGAATTGTTTGGGTGCACATTTTTGAGAACATTGCTGTGTGGCTGTGTGTTGTTTGACCATTTTGGACATTTGTTCCAACCAAAAAAATCGTACTAATTGTTGAACACGCGTCATGTGGTCAACAAAACAACCAATTGAACGATTCCAGCATTTTGGTTCAAATTCGTTTTGTGATAGTCAATCGGATGCAAATAAATATTTGTTTCATTGTTTCACAGTTTTGACGGGTCAGTTTATGGATATTATGAATCGCATTTTTTTGAACAATGCTCAATTCAACAGAAATTGGGTATATTTTTTGGTTTGTTTAAATTGATGCGGCCCAAAGTTCCATGCAGCGTTGTGCCATGAACCGCATCGCCATCCCGAAAGAGGTGCCCACTTTTGGGCTGCCAGGTGTTCGGATTGGGAACTTTTCAGATTGCAAAAATGGTTTTGTGCTGCAGCATGCTGCAAAATGTTAATTCGAGTTGCTACATGGTTTTTTGTTCATGTTGTCCAGGATGCTGCGCCATTGACACATTTTGGACGGAATTGCTTGCTGGAAACAGAAGTGAAGGAGGCACCTGTGGGTTTGTGATTCAGTGAAGGTTCACGGCCAATGATCATAAACGGATTGTTATGTGACGTATTGCCTCGTCATATCCAATCTTTTAAACTTATTTAGGGCAAAACATATAAATGCACAAATTTGGAAATAAAACAACGAACTATATTTTCATTCGGATTGGTTTAATTCCCTGAGGGTTCATGTGAAACGAATACTCCATTTAACTTTACACAAAAAAAAATCACTTCCCAAGAATTCAAAGAAACCAACACACATTGTTTCCACCCACACCAGAAAAAAACATGCGTGAAATGTTCTTCCACTATATTATTGACCCTGGCTGTCGGTCTTCCACAGGTGCGATTTGGGGATGGTAAAACTTGCAAATATACGATGGTTATTCCATGCTATTGTTATATTGATGTGGCGATCGCCTTCTTAAAAATATGGAATTGCTATTAGTGATATGCAGCATTTGGCACGGTTTCTTATGGGTCAGAACGATTGATGTGGGTTTGACAGCAACCATGGCACTCCAATGTGCAGATTCTGGAGGAGTTGGGGATTGCCCCGACAGGTGCAGGGTTGTTTTGATAGGCGAACGTCCGACTAGAAGTTCCCCCGTACATAAAAAATCACAGATCATTATCCCAGTATATGATGGAACATGGTTGTGGAAAATTGGATTTTGTAGATATCCACTGTCTATGTATAATAGTATAATACATATATATATATAAACACGTATATATATATATATACATAAATTATACATAGATAGATACATAAATACACAGATACATAGATATCTAGATACATAGATATATGAATACATAACATATATACCTTATATACCTATATACCTATATATACTTGTGTACGTAGATAGTTTAGATAGATTAGATAGATTAGATAGATTAGATAGATTAGATAGATCAGATAGATTAGATAGATTACATAGATTAGATAGATAGAAAGATAGAAAGATAGAAAGATAGGAAGATAGGAAGATAGGAAGATAGAAAGATAGAAAGACAGAAAGATAGACAGATAGACAGATAGACAGATAGACAGATATCCAGATAGGCAGATAGACAGATAGACAGATAGACAGATAGACAGATAGACAGATAGACAGATAGACACACAGACACACAGACAGACAGACAGACAGACAGACAGACAGACAGACAGACAGACAGAGAGAGAGAGAGAGATAGATAGATAGATAGATAGATAGATAGATAGATAGGCACGTACATACACATACACATACACATACACATACACATACACATACACATAGACATATACATAGACATAGACACAGACAGATACAGGTACATAGACAGGTACACATACACATACACATACATATACATTGTACATATACATAAACATCTACAAACACATGCACAGAACTCGACATAGACATAGACATAGACATACACACACACATACACACATGCACACATACGTACATACGTACATAGTACATACATGCATACGTACTGTACATACATACAAACCTACATACGTACGTAAGTACGTACATACATAGATACGTAGACACATAGATACATAGATACATAGATACATGGATACATAGATACATACCTACATATATACGTAAGTACATACATACATAGATACATACATACATAGATACATAGATACATACCTGCATACGTACGTAAGTACGTACATACTACATAGATACAAAGATACATAGATACAGAGATAGATAGATAGATAGATAGATAGATAGATACATACATACATACATAGATGCATAGATACATAGATACATAGATACATAGATACATAGATACATAGAAACATAGATACATAGATGCATACCTACATACGTACGTAAGTATGTACATACATAGATACAAAGATACATAGATACAGTTACATATATACATTAATACATAGATACACAGATACATAGATACATAGATACAGAGATACAAAGATACAAAGATACATAGATAAATAGTCTCATACCTACATACCTGCGTAAGTACGTACATACATAGATACAAAGATACAAAGATACATAGATATATACCTACATACGTACGTAAGTACGTACATACATAGATACATAGATAAATAGATACATAGATACATACTAACATACGTACGTAAGTACGTTCATACATAGATACAAAGATACATAGATACATGCATACATACGTACGTAAGTACGTGCATACATAGATACATAGATACATAGAAACATAGATACATAGATACATAGATGCATAGATACATAGATACATACCTACATACATAGATACATACATAGATACATACATAGATACATACCTACACACCTACATACGTAAGTAAGTACGTAAGTACATACATACATAGATACATAGATACAGATACATAGATACATAGATACAGATACATAGATATATAGATACACAGATACATAGATACATAGATACATACCTACATACGTACGTAAGTACGTACATACAGAGATACAAAGATACAAAGATCCATAGATACATAGATACATACCTACATACCTGCGTAAGTACGTACATACATAGATACAAAGATACATGGATACATAGATACATGCCTACATACGTACGTAAGTACGTACATACATAGATACATAGATACATAGATACATAGATACGTAGATACATAGATACATAGATGTATAGATAGATAGATACATAGATACATAGATACATACCTACATACGTACCTAAGTACGTGCATACATAGATACAAAGATACAAAGATACATACCGACATACGTACGTACGTACGTACATACATAGATACAATGATACATAGATCATAGATACATAGATACACATATAATAGTGACTCCCCCAAAGACAGACAACGCATAGTTTGATCTCTGAATAATCTGCATCTTGCTTGGCCGCTGCAAGCTTGCTCTTGTTGAGGTGGAAGGTGAGTGCCAAGTTTGTTTCGAGGCATGGACAGAGCTACCCGTCACCGCAGACATGGGACTAGATTTTCCATTGCAAAGTTCGATCACACCACTCGGCAGAGATTTTTGTTCGTGCCATCTTTGTTTGACTCATGACCACAGCAGCTGTCAAAGGACCGGCTTTAATTCTTCAGTAGATGTGGAGGCATACTTGGATGTGCATTCTTATTTTGTAAGTGCTCATGGCTCATGACCGTGTTTATACCCAGTTTATATATGAGTTATATACGGGTGCGCCAGTATGCATGTGCACCTGCCGGATGCCAGACTGCGAACTTACCAGCAATTTGCCCGTGCTTCGTCAATGGCCGCGGTTGCTGTGCCAATTGCTTGAGGAATCGCCGAGGGTTGTGAGGTTATGGACAGATCCTTATAATATCAGTGTTGAAAAAATGATCCATGCAAACTCAACTCTTTCAATGAAACAGGTTCCAACTCCATGTTTTGATTCAGCAAATTTTGGTAGGTGCCTCCGAGTTGCAAATTGCAGCGATTTTGATGGAGCAGAACTCGTAGGTTGTAGGTCATAGTGGCTTCCGTAGAAGTAGGCATTCTTGGACAGTCCCTTCATACGTATCATACTTTGAATGTCCTGTTGCAGGCGGTACTTCACCACCCTTGTGCAAGATGCACTATATGCGATGCCCGTAGTGCTCCACTCAGTACCAGAGAGAGGTACTCGTTTTGAAAAAGGCTGTTTAAGATTGATTCCGGGCAGCGGATGCAAATGATTCCTGCTTTGGCTGCCAGAGAGCCTTCGGTTCCTCCTCTTCTTGAAGACAATTGAAGTTGGAAAGGGAAATCTAGTACAGTTGAAACTATGTGTAGATAATCCATACTTCCTGCGTTTCTTCTTCACCATCGTATTTGATGCACTGCATTGTGACCGAACTCGTCATATTGCCATCCCACTGGATGATGATTAGATGATTGGACAAGATAAAGAATTGGTGATATAAGTGGTATATATATATGTATAATATTTAGTATAATATATATGTATGTATATATGTAATGTATGTATGTATGTATGTATGTATGTATGTATGTATGTATGTATGTTAGGTTATGTTAGGTTATGTTAGGTTATGTTATGTTATGTTATGTTATGGTATGTATGTATGTATGTATGTATGTAGGTACGTACGTACGTACGTAATGTAATGTAATGTTATGTTATGTAATGTAATGTTATGTTATGGTATGTTATGGTATGTTACGAAAGCCAGCTAGCTGGCTAGTTGCTGTTTGCGAACGAAGTGAGAATAGGGGGTGTGGGGGGGGTGGTTGCCGAAAGGGAACGAAATCTCCCCGTGCCCCTGTGTTGAGCGCGAGAAAACGGAGCATTTTGCTGGATTATGTACCACTAGGCAATTTGCTGACGGTGGGGTATCGATTCCCCCTAGGTCCGCCTTTTTGGTGGCCGGAGAGACCATGAGGATGTATTGGAAAATACAATGAAACTGCAGGAAAACATGATAACGATCAGAGGAAATCGTACAAAATCCCCTGGAAAACGGACGAAAACGGAGCGAATGCTAGGAACAAACCATGGAAAATCCCTTGGAAAATGGAGGAAACCGGAGCGACTGCTAGGAACAAACTATGACGATGCAGTAAACATGTTGGAAAAAGACAGTGAAAGTGCAGGAAAATGCGATAACAACCAGAGGAAATGGTGCAAAAACGATCGGAAACTGAAGGAGACGGGTAAAACTCTTGGAAAAATATATTGAAAATGCATGAAATGCAGGAAACGAGAGGAAATGGTACAAAAAGCCATAGAGGAAAGCGGTGAAAATGGTAGGAAGCATGTAATAAAAAAAGCTGGACAAAACACAGTGAAAACCTACAAAAGAGAAGAAAGTAACCACAGGAAACGGTAGAAAAAGCAGTGGAAACTGGAAGAAAAGTTGTGACAATATTAGGAAAACGGTGTACAAGCTAGGAAATGCTTGTAACAACTAGAGGAAACGATGTAGAAAACAGTACAGCATGGAGGACACGCGTGAACATGCTAGGAGGCATGTAACATGTTAGAAAAATACAGTGAAAACCTAGGAAAATGTTATAACTAAAAAATGCTTTAAAACATATAGTGAAAACCAAGACAATGTCAAGGAGCGGAAACGTTGAGCAGGAAATCCGATTTGGTTTCTGTAGATAATGTTAGATGATGATGAGCAATGTAGTTTGGTGATAGGAAATAGTGGCTGACTCGCGTACAAGACATTGCCATGAAACCTTGGAGCAAGATGCGGATGGTATAGGAAAAAAGATGTATGAGTTGTAAGATTTTAGGAGTTGCATGGGGAAATTGGTTTCATGGTAATCTGTGTGAAGTTAGAAAAGTGTGATTTAGTTAACAGAGTAAGAAAAATAAATACAATCTGCAGATTAGAGTATTTATAATGCTTAAAGCTGTTTGACGTTTTTTGGTGCCTCCCTGATTCTGGTAGTTTTGTGATAAGAACTACAAAAACGATCTATTGGTAAACGGAAGGAATAGTCTTTTCGGTTTAGAACTGAGTCGACTGTCAAGTGATGCATAGGCTCCAGGCCTCTGGTTATTGTCACAAAGCATTGGAATGAAGATTGCGCCCAGGAGCCACCTAGGTTAGGAGACAAATGCTGTAATATCATTGTAAGAGGCCGTACTGAGAAGGCTGAAACAGAACTAAAAGTGAATCTTGTACTAAAACATCGAGAAAGAATTTGAATCTTCTAATGGCAATGACGGGAATGATATGCATCTGTACGTCCGTGATAGTATGTGTGCCTTTTAAAAGGGATGTTTGGCGAGTGTGATAGCTGAGAAGATTTTCCGGGATACCAAACAATTATCTCTATCGATGTCAGGGATGATGCTATTCCGCGACATTTCCTGTAAAATATCTATTTTCCAGACCCTTGGGGGGTGGGGGGGGGTACCCAGGTCTGTAAATGGCCTATATATATATATACTTTTGATTTGGACTACATATTCGTCACTGTTCTATATTTCCCGTGGGTTTTGCATTATTTTCCTCGATTTTCATTCGTTCTTATACCCTTTCTTACGTATATTATAATATTGTCTTGGGTTTGCACTGCCCATTTTGCGAGTAGAGCTATGTTTTGATTTCTCACCGTACGGCCAAAATGTTGCGGAACTTCGCGGAGAAGCATGGACCACGCTGGGGAGAAAACAATTTAGACTTTGAGAGGTCACATGACCACTGTTCACACAAAAAAGCGGATATTATTTATCTACAATAGGTGGGAGCAAACTTGCGCTGTTTTAAGATAAATGAGCAACCAAAGGCGGATTTACGGAACTTGAGATAGAACTTTTCACAATGCCGCAGCACATTGTATGAAACATATTTGGATATAGAAGTTACAAAATCGTGGAGTTTACCCTAAAAAGGTCCATTTAATGATTGGACAATTTTGACCCGATAGCAATTGTTGATGTTGGGGCGCTTCATGTTTGAGCCATGCCATATGGATGAGGTGGAGTTTCACGCGCCCCCGCGCGAGTCAAAAAGCAAGCGCTGGCTTTCGTTCCACCCCTTCTCAGGTTATGGTATGGTATGGTATGGTATGGTATGTATGTATATATATATACATGTATGTATACAAACATATAATATATTGCCAGCTACATCATCATCCCGCTGGAGGAGCCATGGATGTGATACCAGTGATACCTGAAATGATGGGACCACAGATCTACAGCTTATCGCAGATATCTTGTCCTCTCTGTCGTCTACGTGTTCCGACTGCGTCCTGGTCGCCGTTTGTGGATGAGACGGTATACAACAAGGCCAGTTGTGCTGGGGGTTTCACTTGAGGATTGGTGTTTCTTAAGATGTTTGACCGGATGATTCTAAGAAACCCTCCCAATGGGATTGGCTCCCATGATTGACCCAATTGGATCCAATTGGATATTGGATATTTAAACATGAACCAATTTGTTGGCGCGGCATTCCCGGGCCTGGTCTGGGTTTTTTTGAGAATTTCGTTCTATATCCCATTATATCCCCAACAAATCACCATAACATTAGAATGGCCGGGTGTAATCGGTGTAATCTCATTTTTTGGTTGGACTTTTGCTGAGCAGTTTCAGCCACGGAGTCCATGTGCGCAGTACGTGGGCAATGCGTTTGCGCTACTGTCACTGCGCTGCCCTTCCTGTGACAGCACGACTTCCTTTGCAAGGTGCGTTTGCTTCCCCCGTTGGATCGAGATGAGTTGAAATCTCTGTAAACGATTCTAGAATTTAGACTAGACCTGGATGGAACCAAAAAGAGGATGATATCTTCTAAACACATCATTTTCCAAAATCCACTTTTTGGGTGAGGACGATTCCTGCCTGTCACTGAAGGTGTGACCCGTTACCTTGTCGTGTCCTTTGGGCTCAGCAGGAAAACCATAGGCCAGAACAGTGACTACACAGTCACAACACAAGACTACCGCTTTTCATTTTTGCCATGTAGTTGCTGGCAAAACCTTGTACCCCCGATTCCTGAAATCGGAGGCTTAAAATCCACGATTTTTCTAGAGAAAAACATCCTGAGTCTGTGCAAAGACTGCGAATTTGTACTGCATGACTGCAAACAGGCTCAGTGTTGCTACTTCTAGTGGCATAGCATCCATAATCGGTGCACAACTGTTGTCCTAAAAGTTGTTCGGAGCCCTATTAATTCACAATGACTTTACGTAGGTGCCAGAAACTGCGACACATCGTCGGAATCAAAGCATGCCGGGACTTGAGACTTTGCTGACTCCTGCGCTGGAGTGTACCTTGACAAGACACAGACACTTTGTAGGTGAGAACTTGTGAATGTCAAGTATTGGATGCAGTGATAGAAGTGTAAGACTATATTGCGACTGTGGGACGAAGCTAGCCAGTTCTGAAAGTCCTGCATCGAAACTTCTTAGCCAATCAAGACCTTAAGCTCCGGGAATTCCATCAGAAGCCCAGCAGAAGTTGGAACATAAGCAGCATAGAATGGCATGAATGGAATATATTTCATTTCTGAGTAAACTTTGCAGCAAACCACGTTTCTTCCCAGTGAATATGTTTTTTCTTTCCTGCAGCTTTATCCAAGTTTGAGAATATTTGCTAAAACTACATTACTCACCATTGCGGCACAAATCGAGCCTAAACAGATTTTTCTCAGTATTACACAACCTCGATATGCCGACCATGGCTATGAAGGACTTTGGCCATGTAGTGTACTAGGGGAAAGGACTGCTATTTGCAGTCAACGTATCTTCAAGGAAGAAATCTGCAGTTTACTGAGTACTTCGGATGGAATCTGACCTGTTTGATTTTGTCCTTTGATGTTTGACAAAAAACGGCTCTGAAGCATTCTAAACACAGAACACAGAGACACTGCTACCATCAACTTTACTAAAGCAAGTGGTGTTTGTCGGGCTACTCTGTTCAATCCTCCCTGTGCCCAGGTTGGGGTGTTTGCGACTCAGATGTGTGGTTGATGGGTTTTTGTGGGGCATCCAAATAGGAACCCTGTTTTGATAGAACAAAAAGGTGATGGGTTTCATCGAGCGAAGCACGTTCACTGAGTCGACTTCTCCATTTGATGACTTTGAACAGATGCGCCAGGCAACGGGGGGAAGCTAGGATTTCAAAGCTGCTATTGTGTTGCCATTGCGTGCCATTCATGATGATTTTGATGAAGTCTCAACATAGAAACACAATATATTTTGCAATATCCTTGAACAGGCTTGTGTATTTCTCTTTGTCATTATTTCCGCAATCTTTTTGCAGACAACACTTCGCAGTCCTTCAGAAGTGTAGGTGCAGGTCACAGTTGAAGTGTCCAAAAACCGATCGAATTCCCTACGAAAATGGAGAAGCTGTTTCTTTTTTGGTCCCAGATCTCACAAGCCGAAAAACTATCATTGTGGGAACCCTACTAAATAGACCTCCTTAAATGTGGATTTAACGACGTTACTCCAAGCAGGTTTACCACATCAATCCAAGCAGGTCCACTGCTGAACTGCTTTCAGGCTTGGCCAGGCTTGCTGGAGCAAAGTGAGGAGGACGGGCTGGCAGGGCGAAGCTTCAAAGCTTGAGAGTTTCTGACATAGAAAAGTTGGTCACCTTCATTTTTTGAAAGAAAAGGCACCAGACATTTTTTTTCTCTCACTTGCAGGTAAATGATTTTGACTGATCATGAACGTGAATCAGCACTGAAGGACTCCCTGCTTGTCCACTGACTTTGCATTGAGGGTTCGCCCATGTCAGGATGTAAAAGGGAGACTATCTCAGCTGGCCTTCCTGATTGGTCGGGCCCTTTGCTGAGAACAACACCATGGTTTCTCCAAATGACGTTCCTGAAATCTACATATATACACAGCTTAGCTGCTTAGCTTATATGCCAAATGTTTGAACGGCTCTGCGTGAAGGAAAGAGCTCCGACTAGAAGAAAAGCAGCGCAATACTGTTGCCGACATTTGCGTGATGCGGAACGAAGCATTTTAAGGCATTTTTCTAGTGAGAGTAAGACGCTCTCGGAGTGAGAGGTTGCTAGAAGAAGTTTTTCACCTTGAAAGCAAAAGAACCTTGCCGTCAAGGGTTCTTAATGCAAAAAGGTTCTGGAGGTAAGAAGGGGGCACTCACCAGGGATGACATTTTGGAAGTGAAACCGGCTTTCAATACAACACATGCAACAACACACCCAGAACAACTCCACGACTACATCTCCTCCTATTTTTTGCGCCTTGTTGCTCCTTGAATACTTTCGAGATCTTTGCTGTATGGCTTCTGACTGGCTTTGACAAGTGAAATCAGTCAAGTTTCACCCAAATGGCTTGTTTCAGCCAAGTTGTAGAACGATGCTTGTCCATACAGAGAATGGGGGGTCAGATGTGACTCAACTTGAGGTGTTGATGCCATCAGCAAGGAGTCCTGCCTGGAGTTGCTGGTGTCACAACCACGCAGGTGAACGATGATTTTGTGGTGCGCTGGTTTTGATTCATTGTAGATGTTGCTTTGGGTGCTATCCAAGAGCCCAATTTTGGCACCTGTGCTGGCAGCATTGCTGACTACACTGTCAAACTTCTGTGGGAACAAGATGGACTTGTTGCCCTGTCCTCAAGCTGACATGAACCGTGTAGCGACAAATTTGAGTAGGCCTTGGAAGTGCAGGGCATGCATGACTGAGGCAGTCAACAAGCCGTATGATATGCGCATTGATCTACCAAAGGACCAACATTTTCCATTGGCTGTCGCTGTCCGATCTTTGTGCAGGGTTTAGGGTTCCCAAGTTCTCCCTGTCAGCACAATCCTGTTTTGAGCCCACAACCTCAGTTTGTCAAAATAATGGAGCAGCATCACTACATGGACAATGACTGTCATTGGTGTTGCAAAGAAAAGATGATCTATTTTCTGTTGCACATGTGTTGCACATGTGTTGCACATAACAAATGTTGGCTTCCATCGTCAAGTTCAGGACGGCTCACGTCGCTGGGAGGAGGAGCTTACGGTCTTTGTCCCAGCTCAGTGATCCTTCGTCAAGGCTAGCCGACAGATGACTACGAAAAACCGAACTGGACCCCGAACTTGGCTGGCGTCTCATGGAAACAATTTCGTGGACCATGGGTTTCGACAGATTTGTCGAAATTGCTTGAGGTCGCAGATTGGTTTCAGACCCGATTTCCCGGCCAAAAAGTTCGCTTTTGTCACCAATTGGACCATGCTACCTCTGGAGTTGGGCAACTCAGCTGCTCTGTGAGAATCACATGGGCTTGGTAAAGTCATTTTGTCATTTCAACAGTCCTGAAACATTGGGAAACTTGTTGCCTGGTTTTAGAATGATGACTTGTTAGATCAGTTTGGTGTCAACTGAAGCTGGGTGTCAACTCTGCGACCAGGTCCTGCTAATGGCAGCAAACAAGGCACGCCATGCCGTCATTAGTTGAGTAAACTCTTTGCAATCTGCGGCCCTTGAAACTTCAGTGTTGGGTCCCTACTCATTGATCTTATTGGTCAAGTTGGCTTGAAACCTCAAATCCGCATATTGGGCCGATCTGTTTTCGGCAATGAAAACCATGACTAAAACAGCATGCCCTGGAACCTGCACATGGCGAGATCGCCATTCAGAGATGGCCATGATTCACTGTGATAGGCAGCCGGACGGGCTGGGCTCCCAACACTGCCTTGCTGTGAATGAAAGGGTGCGTTTCAAGTTTCTACCCGTTTGAATCATGAAAGAAACAGCAAACTGGGAAAAAAACGTCAGCATATTTGATATGCAGTACCCTCTGGTAAATTGACATAGACCCTGGCAGATAGGGTTTGGAAGACTAGTTTCCATTAAAAATTGGTGATTTTCAGGGTCTATGTTTATTTACCAGAGGGTAATGATTTCATAAGTGGAGATTAGTGCCAATGCTTTTTCCTTGAGCGGCCCGTTTTGTTGCTGAGGTCGGGAGTCAGCTCTTTGAAAAGCGCCAGGTGCAAAAGTCTGGAGCTTGGTGCTGGGCCGTTTCGGAAGAGGTCTGGGATTTGCTGAGTAGGAAACTCATGGACACTCCAATGAGACTGAAATTGGAGCATGAAATTGGAGGAAACCGGATGCCTCGTTTCCTGCAGTGGTCAGGACGTACCTGGCTCTTGTGCTCGGTCAGCCTTCGCAACGACCTTGGGAGATCTCTCCGTTTGAAGTTCCCAGGGGGATCCATTCAAAGAAGAAGATACTGGCACAATATAATAGGATCCCCCTGGGAAAATGGAACCATATAATAAGAATGGCACAAATTACTAGGCTTGGCAGAAATTTGGCATTTTCTTCTTTCAGCAACCATATAATAAGAATGGAAACGCGAGCTCGAACCGGACATCCAAGTTGCAAGTTGGTGTCGATCCCAAAGACATTCCCTGTGACCACCAGGGACTGGCAGCCCACCCCTTTTCCAGTGTTTATATCAATTCATATCTGGAATTCTAGGTGAAAAATGATCCAATTCATACATATACACGTATATAATAATACATATAGATTCCCATTTCCAGATGATGTGACCAAATCTGTTGGGAATCCCAGGTGGGATGGTGAAGTTTGCCTCTCCGATCGCCTCTGCGACAGCGAAGGGTTTGCTCGGAGGGTGGCACTGGAAGGAGAAGCTGGGGAAGAGGAGCGCAACGGGGGAAGGTCAAAAAATTAGCATTGCTGTTTCATGAAAGGAGATTCAAGTGTTATATAAGTTATACCTCATGTGTTTATAAAACCTGGCTTTTCATCTTAAATTGGCACTTGAATTTTTAATTCTGATGGCACTTTTCAAAAGTAGACTTCAGTCCTTTTCATCAAATTTGCACATGGGTTGGTACTCTGAGCAGGCTGAGACTCTGGCGGAAGTTGTAAGATTCGGCCTTTGGCCCAAAGGCCAGGCTCGCCCGGGGCCACTGAAGTGTTCAAATTTATGGTATGGCACTTGTTTATGCATACCCTCTGGTAAACTAACGTAGCTATGGAAAGATCCACCATTGTTAATGGGTAAATCCACTATAAATGGGCCATTTTCAATAGCTACGTTAAATTGCCAGAGGGTATATAATCCAGCAACTTCTCTAATTGATGCTAAGGATCAGAGTAACACTCCAGGTTCTGAAGGCGCAAGGCATCCTCACTTGTGTGTTCAGGACTGGTGGGTATCCGCACAAGGTTTTTTTTGGCAAAACATAGACCATTTTCATGATTTTGGGGTCCCTTACCGTTCGGTCAACAAACATAACATAACTATATATAACAATTGAACATCACCATTTATAATAAAGGATTTACCTATTAACAATGGCAATTTCTTATAGTTATGTTAGGTTACCAGAGGGTAGTTGTGGGCAAAACCTCAGCTTCTCTTTGTGCTGTAGGCGCAAGCCCCAGTCGACTGCCTAAGCTTCCTGCGGCTCTGGTGCAATTGAAACTCATCACCGGTAGGTGCAACGACACATTTTGCGACCAGTGAGCCCCTGTTGGTTGATGATTGGTTTGGGGTTATACTACCTTTATTGGGAGTCGGATTCTCATAATCCATGAATTGGGAATCCCATTCTTCACCAAGCAATATTTTTGGAGTTCAAATTGTCTTGTGGAAGATCAACAGCCAAGTTGACAGATTGGTCTGGGCCGCTTCGTAGGAAAGATTTTGGATAGTACCCTCTGGTAATTTAACATAGCTATGGAAAATCACCATGTTTAATGGGTAAATCCACTATTATTGGCCATTTTCAATAGCTATGTTAGTCATTACCAGAGGGTAGTAGCCATCATCCTCATCCTTGTCATCGTCATCACCACCACCGACCGAATTTCCATCGTTCTGAGCGACGGCAGGCGTCATCAGATCCGTTTGCACCTGGCGGCGGCGGGCTTCCCTGTGCTTGGGGATGACACCTATGGAGGCGTGGCTTACCTTAGAAAATGGAAACGATTTGTCATGGTGCCTTTTAACACTTTTCTTTGTTTTGGACTGGTGAGAGTCGCTGTCAGGGTGGATGCTTTAAACGTTAGACAGCATCAAGCGTCCGCTTCCCAAGGGAGTAGAAGGTACCTGAGAGGACAGATATGTCCACATTTAACTAGAAAACCTCAGCAAAAACCAAAGCTTGCATGTACTGCAGGGCTACAAAGCTGCACACAAACAGGAACATATTTCAACATCTATATTTGACAATGTGGTTGCTGTGGTTGTCGTGGTTGTCGTGGTTGTTGTTGTTGTTGTTGTTGTTGAGCAATGCAAAAAACTGTTGCCACAGCCCAGTTGTGGCTACTTGCTTCATGACATGGCCAGGCAATCCTTGGTCCGATCGTGCTGGCAGCTATCGTGACTTGGAGCCCATCTGGGACCCTGGGATGGTCCAGGAGGATTGTTTCAACAGCTGCTCTGTTGGCTAAGGGAGGGATGGAGCGGCTGTTCTTTACGGTGCCCTGAGGCATGTTCCTCCATTCGCATCGGTTGGCAGAAGCCTGAGCTGACATTGCCAAGTATCTCATGGTTGGCGCTGACTTTCCCACAATGACTAGCTAGTGGTCTAGAGACTTGATTGGCTGATCTGGAATGTTTAGACTGAAGCCTGATGCTGCAAAGACAGGAGAGGTACAACCTTTGGGCATGTTCACATGAGCACGATTCTTCCGTCGCATTTTACACGCATTTCCTTTTTGTGTTCTGGACTGAAAAAACGGGTCTGTCCAATCATGGGTGATATTTTCATGTTTAAGACGATCATAAACCACAGGATTTCAGGGGTACTTGAGGTCTTGCCCTTGGACGATGCTTGCATCGAGGCACCCTGCAGCTTTGAAGAAGAGTTGGAGGTGTGCTGGGTTGGAATGGGGAGACAAATTGGTTGAATTTTCAAGGCGTGCAGGTTCCTGATCATGGGGTTCCTCCAGTAATTCGTTTCGATTTGGGTGCGTCCAGTCCTTTTTGCAGTCCTTTTTGATTTTTTTACATGATTGTCGTTTTACAATCATGCTTTTTCTCCGAACAAAATAGATACTCAAATGAAAAATGCTCAGGGTTACGGAGGTTGCAGGTAGCAAGTGCTTGTACGAGTAGCCGCCACTAGTGAAATCAGCTCCTACTTCAGGAAAGGTCCCAGGCCAACGGGAACTCTTTAAACGGAATTGTGAAGTGTCGCCAGTGTCGCTATGAAGTCACCAAACAACACATCTCAACACATCGACTTTCAGCTTTTCCTATTTGTCGAGCCCAGGAGCCAGAAAGCTAGAGCCAGAAAAGATGCGATGGCCTATCAGTAGAGGTGATGGTCACCCTAAAGAGGAACCCCTGTGTGACAAGGAGAGATGGAACCCAACCTATGGCAATATACCTGGGTTTTGTGGAAATTGAAAACCCATCCTGAGTTGCCTGAAAGATTTGATTGCGCTGGGGTCAAAATGCAGAAACTTTGGGACTCTTCTCTGTTCATAGCCAAGCTGACCTTCGCTCAGTCTCAAGAGCTAGTTGGAAAAAAACAACATTACACAAACATGGTTCAGCAGTTTGTCGACAATGATTGTGAGGCATGTGATTCAGTTGGAGCATGACGAAAGGTATTTCCCCAAGACGACTTGAAAGAGCTTCATAAAATGAAGTGCTTCTATTCAAAAAGACTTGGACCATTTCCAAGAGGTTTTTGGTTTGGAGGAGTTTTTGTTTCGGGCCATCCCGCAGCTTGCACTGCTGCATCATGGAGACGACATACCCGAACGAGGAGGATGTCGGCCCAGAAAGCCCAAGCTGCTTCAACAACTTTTGGTCCATTCTCGGATGCGAAGATGACAAGATCAAAGAGTGACACCCTGAGATCGCACGATCGTTTTGTGCATGTGACCATCTTTAAGCACCACATGGTTGGGAACATTTTCAAGATCTAAAACCTTGAAATTTGGAAGCTGAGCTGTGGCTGAACTGCCACATCTTAGGATGAGATTGGAGAGAAAGCGAGACTTGCTTCAGGCCAGAAAAACTGCACCAACGAGTGGTCATTTTTGCAGCTTTCATCGCGATGACAGTTTTTCTACTACCTGTGGACATGGTAAGTCTCTGCGGAAGCGGACTTCTAGTGAACGGAAACGGTTTTGTTTGACCACAAAGAATAGATCCAATGATCCAATTCTAAACCAGGGTGGTTTTGGGATTATTCTCATTGGTGACATCACACCATCGGTCCCCATACTTTTTCCTGGTCGTATGGCAAGTGTTGGCTTGCCCCGAGTCCCTGCGGAACCCTGAGAGCTTCCAGGAGGCGCGAAGGGTGGAGCCTGGTGGAACTGGCTCCCATTTAGCTAGTGGATGGTCACCGTCCTTGGTGATTATAACAAGTTATATTCAGTATAACCACATCGAGGGACTTACGCAAGGTTCTTGACTGGGGTCCTCAGAGGAGACATACAGCTGAGTATATATGCACGATCCAGATTTTGGCCCTCCTGCCGCAAGCTTTGGTTCAGGTGAATGAAAGCCCGCGAAACGGCGAGGTGGGCAAACATGCTTGGGGAGTTTGTGATTTTGGATTCAGGGTATCGGGTATCCAGGGTTGCGCGTCCCTTCCTTTCAGACGTGTAGTTATAATGTAGCTCTTGATACACCAGAAATGCTTCAATTTTTTGGGGCATTGGAGTTGCTGCTGTTGGAAAGGACTGGGGGATGGGTCAGAAACTTGAAGACGTAATCTTCCCCCCCATGTATCCCATATCCCAGCTACCAGCCCCATTTTGATGTTGGAACAGCAGGCAGGGTCTGTCTCTCCATCACGGCAAGGCCCAGAAGAAACCTCCTATTTTTTGTTGCCGTCGCAAGCGCTGCACTGGTGAGAACGCTGCGAGGCGGGAAGTCTTTTTTGGAGGAAATTGTAATGCATCATGGGGTAGAGAAAGGACCATAGTAAAACCATCCAAGTCTCATGGGATCAGAAATTCTTGAGCTGCTGCCATGTGTCCAGAAAACCAAGGACCCGGAAACTCCTTGATTTTCCTTTTTGTGGAGTTCTTTTGGGTGCTCTCAACTTGGATACCTGGAGAAAAATGGAGCCCGTTCTGTCACGCCCGTGCCCAGGGGGGCACTGAAACAGCCTTGGGTTTGGGCACCTAAATCTGATGAGAACGAGCCGGATACTCAGTCATGTTGACCAGTCTATCGCCTGACAATTCAACAGCTCCATCCCATGCAACTCTGGGCATTCAGAGGAAATGGGTATAGCCTAGCTTAAAATTGGACACCCCACAATGTGATGATCCAACCCCCAACTGAACAAAGAAAGAGAAATCGCTGGTTTGCAGCTCCCGGCCCTCAGTGGCCAACCAACTCTCAGTGCACTGCTGGGAGCTGCACCAAGGATTGATTTGGAGTGGAAGATTGTGGAACACGAGCTGGATGAAGAGTCCCTCTGCCGCTTGCGCAACTTCCGGAAGGTGGGGGACGTTCAAACTCGGTAACATCTGAAACCCTGGAACGATAGTTATATAATAAGTATTGATAAGTTATAGTTATCCAGAATCAGAAACGAATGGTTAGAATTAGTACTCCATACTGGGGGATGGACATCAATGAATCATGATTTCATAGAAAATCTATTCCTTGGGTCCTTGGGCCTCCAAGTGTCCTTCAAAGACGACGGACGGAGTGATAAACTGCATTTGTTCGGTCATCAGTGGGTCATCAGTCATGGTCTTTGAAGCGATCGGCAACTTGAAATCCCAGTTAGGCAAGGTCTAGCTATGTCCCAAGATTGAGCGCTCCTGAATTCTCCGTCTGAGTCGGGGAGACCCATGGTGGCACAGTCGAAACCTGGTGATTTGTTATTTGTTGAACGCATGTCCTGCGAGGCAGTAGCTGACGCTGGCCTGGACTTTCATGCAGCCTGTGAGCGGGTTCCGCATTCCAAACGACCGGGCACTTTGTTGCGATACTTGAGAGCGCGGAATTGGAACCAGGAGTCTGGACCCCCAGAGGGAACTAGTCTGGAACCTCTGGAGCTTGCTCTGAGGAATGTGGTCTCAATGATTTTTATTTTCCGGTCCCGAAAAAATGGCATCCTGAAGCCGGATTAGACTTTCATAACTTGGAGATGGCTCAACCAGCAGCGGATGCAGATGCAGATCTGCACCCGAGGCAGTCCTTGAAGATGCTTCAAGAGGCCTTCGATTGGCGCACCGCCCGGAGGGCTCAGACCAGGGCGCCAGCTTAGGATGGGATTGGTGTGTGAATGATGGGGCAAAACCTAGGCCAGTTCCAGACAATACAATAGCAGCAATAACATTTTTTTTGGGGGGGATGAACATCCATTTATCATTTTATACCAACCATTTTCATGTTAGGATGCTTTGGGGCGCTCTCGCCATCGGCATTTTCGGCTGAGGAGTTTCAATTAGACGAGAAGATGGAGGCTCTGGATCCCTGACCATGGCAGCTGCACCTGAAGATGCTGGTTGCCAGGTGTGGCGTGCGGAGTGGAATGCCCAAGAGACCAGCCGCGTGAAAGTCTGGAAGCCAGGGCCTCAGGGCCGGTGGATGGCAGGATGTACAGAAAATGGCGATTTTACGTCTCCCCCTTGAAATACCACCTAGAAATAGTAGGGGATGGGAATTTGGTGTTTCATATTAGGGGGATGGCATTATTGATGAATACCAGTAGTACCGCACAAGGCGGTGGCGGAAGTTTCAAGGATAGGACACTATAGGAGAGGTGAGTTGTTGTGATGCATGGATGGCAGAGTGAATCCACTGATGGACCGAAAGGTGGTTGGAGTTCTGTTTTTTGGAGTGGTTGTAGCCACAACTGCTGGATGTAGTGTGGTGTGGTGCAGCTGTAGTTGTAGTTGTAGTGTAGTGGAGTTGTAGTTGTGTGTAGTGTAATCAGTGTAGTGAAGTTGCAGTTGTAGTAGCGGTGTGGTGTAATGAATGTAGTGTAGTGTCGTGTAGTGTCGTGAGCTGTAACGTAGTCTAGTGTAGCGTGCTGTAGTGTAGTCTAGTGTAGTGCAGTCTGGTGTAGTGTAGTGTAAAGTAGTGTAGTTGCAGTTGTGGCTGTAGTTGTAGTTGGTGTAGCGTATAGTAGTGTAGCGTAGTGAAAAGTAGTGTAGTGTAATTAGTGTAATGTAGTGTAATGTAGCGTAGTGGCAGTTGTAGCTGTAATTGGAGTTGTAGTTGTAGTGTAGTGTAATTTGTGTAAGGTAGCGTTGTGTAATGTAGTGTAGTTGTAGTTGTAGTTGTAGCCTAGTGTAGTGTAGTGTCATGTATTTCGTGTAGTGTAGTGTAATGTAGTGTAGTTGTAGTTGTAGCTGTAGCTGTAGTAGTAACACGTAGTAATAGTAGTTGTGGTTGTAGTGTAGTTAGTGTAGCGTACTGTAATTAGCGCATATCGTGTAGTGTAGTTAGCGCAGTGTAGTGTAATTAGTGCAGCGTAGTGTAATTAGCGTACTGTAGCGTAGTATTTTCGTTTTTGTATTTGTAGTGGTAGTGTAATGTGGTTGTAGTTGTAGTTGTAGTTGTCTATCGATCTATCCATCTATCTATCTATCTATCTATCTATCTGTCTTTCTGCAAGTTTGAAAACAAAGCTATTCTGCGAGACTTCCTCAATTTTTAAACTTGACAACGTCAAAAACGAAGCAATTCTGCGAGACTTCATCAATGTTTCAAATTGACAACATCAAAAACGAAGGAATTCTGCGAGACTTCCTTCAAAAATAGAACGTTGAGTGCAGAGCTGACGGCCTGGTACCAACGGTTTTGTGATTTTTCCACTCCACCTGTTTAAAATGCTGCGCCTGCAACGACAAAGTGATGCCAGGTCATACGAAGTGCTGCACCTGTCCAGCAAAATCATCTTAGCAAACCTGAAGATCTGATTCTCCAAAATGCAACCCCTCTCAGGAAATCTCGTAACATGTCTGATGAACATGTCTCTTGTACTGCGCCTGCCACGCGCCATGCATCTTTCCAGATCCTCTTCAAATGTCTCACGCCTGCCATCGTTTTTGAAACTGCTACAAAAGCCTCACGTTTTGCTCACTTGTGAGGAGGTGCACAATCCCTCGTGCCTGCCACGCGAAACGAGATCTGAACGTCCAAAAGTGGTCCGAGTCAGTTTTTAACACCTTTGACTTGGAGATGTGCTTCGCGCCACAACGGCGTGCACTTTTTCGACATCACAACTTTCAGAAGTGGTCGGAACATGGTGTGTTTTGTACATTTTGACTTGGACATGTGCTTTGCGCCACACAGGCGTGCAATTTTTCATCTCTCATCTGGCCAGATGGCTCCGCACCCGCCGATTAGCGAGCCTACTTTTCGACCCTCCGGGGCCACAAATCATTGGAAAAACACAGTGAATCGCGACTTTTCTACTTTTTCGCACGCCTGCATCTTCTTTCTTCTGACTCTTTCTCTTCTCTGATCTTCTTTCTTCTGCCCTTCTCTTCGCTGACTCTTACCACCTCTGCTTTTCCATCTGTCCATATTGTCGGAAGTTTGGCTTCGAAACTTCCTTCGATTAGTTCATATTGGAAATGATGTATTGCCAATTCCATTGGATTACCATGATTTCCACATTAAAATGACAATTTTTCCGGACACCCAAACCCACACAGGTTGGTCATTCTAAGGATCATGAACGGCATTTTCCAGCTCCCCTATTCTGCCCTACTTATAACTATTCACTGTCACGATCCGAGAAATCCACTGGGAAATAAGTTGAAATAAACATGTTGAAAATCCCAGCGTGTTTTGCTGAAAAGCAGAAAACTGTTCCCATGTCTTGCAGGAAGTACACCTACATCAAACCGATTGGTCTAGACCATGACGGCCTGATTCTGAGACCTATCTGCTGGGATATTGTGAGGTGTGATGGTTGCAGACTGCAGGTAGGCGGTCTTCGCAGTCTCTTATACAGGTCTGAGAGTTTTGTTTCCAAGAGCCAAATGGCTGTGAAAAGAAAGAGCAACATATTGGTATGGGTCAAAACTCTTGACCTCCCAAAATGAATAATGTAAGACTGCTTAAGATGAAATGTGTCCAATTTTGTGCCGAGCGTCGTTGTAACGTTGTAGTTGCAGGCTTGCCGATCTACATCCATCGCACCAGCCAGTGCGATGCCGCTGGACTTGTTCGAGAAGCTGGTATGGAGGCTGGAAATGTGGTGGTAGTCGCGCTTGTGCTGATTCACCAGTGGATTTGAGGTGCATCAGGAAACGAGCCGACAGTCCATGGCAGGAACCAATGTATTACCGTGAGTGGAAGTCTGGTAACGGTTATCGTTGGGTTTTCCGCAACAGACATCTCGGAGCCCGAAATACAGAAACTTTGCCTTGACCAATGACCAAAGTATCCAGAGCCTACTAAAAGTTCATGCAGCGGGCATGCTCCCCCAGAAGCATAGCCGAAGCATACGTCGATACTGCTAACAAGGCTGTGGATGGTCGGAATGGGGCTGTGGAGTTAAGAGGCCTTCATTCTTTTCCACCTGCACATCATGGAGGAGTGTGACTTGACCGCAAAGGTTGGTCTTCTCGTGAAGTTCATCATTAGGGTATGGGTCAGCATTATATGGGCAACGTAAGGGAAGCTTTTGCTACGAGAACTTGTGTTTTTTTTAGAATTGGTTTAAGGAAACAGATGCAGCACACCTTAATATTTGATCGTAAAAATCAATGGTTTCCTGGAGCTTTTCCCTCGAGCCAATCCATTGATCGGGCTGCCCGTCTCAGGTTTTGCTGCGGCGCAAGAACGCATGATGAAAACAGGGAAGCTGATCACCAACTTTGTGGAAATCTATGATCAAGGTGCATATGCCGTCAACAGGAAAACCATAATGACGTGGGGATATTTCATGGGGAGTTTCAAATGGATATCATGGGATTCTATTAATATCACATCTAGCTTAGTTGTCATGCAAGTCCTTAGAGATTAGGGTTCAAGAAACATTCAATGCCATGATGCGAATACCGGGTGGTCTTGAATAGTCCCACCCCAAACCACAAGATGCTGTAAAGTTTTAACACACGCCAGATACATTCTCAAAAAAAGGCTGAGTGCTGCTTGTCCGTTGGAAGAGAGACATAGACTTGGCAGATGGCTGATGGGTTGCAGGGGTTGGCAGATGTGGTGTGTGGTTTGCACGCCAGGTGACTATGGCCTTGTAGGAAAGTACATGCGACGTGGATATCAGGCTTGGGAGTTTGGAGGCTCAAAACTGCCTGTTCGCAACTGTGCAGACAGAAGTTGATGTGTGCATCGGTATGGAATACCATAAACATTTGGCGTACACCTGAAAAAACCGACATGAAACAATTTTGGTTACCCGCTTACCAAAGAAAACAGGACGCTTAGTACTCAGAAGAACCAACATTTCCCATGTTTTACCAGTCAATTTATGAGTCCATGGGTCCTCAGTTGTCACCCCATTGGCCATTGACCGAGGCCTTATAAACAGATGATCCCAATCCTGGACAAAGTGGGAGCCTCAGATCCCAAGGGTTCCATCATCAGAAAACTTTGTTTCATGATCTGACAGGTATGTCTTATATATATTATACATATATAAAAATAGCATTGTATATCTATGTATTGTATTGTATTGTTTTGTATTGTTGCATTGCATTGCATCGCATTGTACTGTATTGTATATAATTGTACTGTATTGTATTGTACTGTACTGTATTGCATTGCATTGCTGCATTGCATTGTATTGTATATAATTGTATTGTATATTACTTGTATATACTTGTATTGTATTGTATTGTATTGTATTGTCAAAGGAAGTTTCATGGAGGAAACTCCGAGTTACGGAGGGTTTTATGCTCACTAGCCCAAAGATCATTGTGTCCAGTTGGCACCAGCGTTAAGAGATCACGTAGTCACATTCTCATTAGCCCAGAGAGTATCGTGTCCAGTTGGCACGTGCCTTAATGTCCAGTGGGCATGTGCCTCAAGAGATCATGAAGTCAAGAGTAGAGAAGAGTAGGGTATATGTAAATGCTTCTCCGTGGAAAAGCTTGCTCTGTGTGTAAGCATATCTGTGACAGGAGGTGAGAAGAGTCGAGAAGAGTTGGCCAGAGTTGAGAAGGTGAGAAGAGTTGAGATGAGCTGTGAAAGAGGTGAGATGAGTTGAGCGGAGGTGAGAAGAGGTGGGAAGAGTTGAAGGAGTGGCAAGAGGTGAGAAGAGTTGAGACGAGTTGAGAAGAGCTGAGAAGAGTTAAGGCGAGGTGGGCAGAGGTGAGAATCATTGAGAAGAGTTGAGAAGAGCAGGGAAGAGGTGAAAAGGGTTGAGCTGAGGTGGGAAGAGATGGAGCAACTTTGAGAGCTGTTGAGAAGAGTTGCGAAAATTGAGAAGAGCTGAGATGGTCTGAGAAGAGTTGAGAAGTGGCGGTCACAATTGAAAAGGGGTGAGGCAAAATGACGACGAATTCACAGAACAGAGTTGAAAAGCTGTGAGGGTCCCCTGCATCTTCTATAGGCAAACCTTGCCTTAGGCTCCTCTTGCGTCACAGTCCTTAAACCTGGAAACTTCCGCCCCCCACCTTGCGCGGGTTCTACTTGTATTGTATTGTATTGCATTGCATTGTATTGTATTGTATTGTATTGTATAGTAGCGTATTGTATTGTATTGTATTTTACTGTATTGTACTGTGCTGTAACGTAATGTACTGTAATGTATTGTATTGTACTGTACTGTAATGTAATGTATGTATGTATGTATCTATGTATGTATGCATGTATGAGAATATATATATATACATATTAGATCTGTCAATGATCCTTTGCGTAGTATTAAATACGACCCAAAAGTCCTGGGTTGGATGTATTCATTTTCGGGTCCCAAATATCGGGGGAATTTCAAATTTAAAGGAATGGGTTATATCCTCTGTTAATCAAACATGCCTTGCTGGAAAATGCGTTTGGCACGTTTGATTACCGAAGGGTAAATGGATTAGAATCCCATTCTGGAATCCTATTGTAAATCCAGTCAAATCCTCATTGACAGTAGTTGTACCCATTATTTTGGTGGATTCCACATGGCGAACATCTCCGTCCTGGGCACTCCAAGGTCTACCCAGAAAGAGTCCGGGTTGCCTTTGTGGTAAGGCGGGACTTGGCTCGACTTTTGTGCGAAGGAGGCGAAAATACGTCAGAAGCATAAGAAATGGAGTTTAACATGGTTTAACCAACAAACATGATGGGTAAAGTAGTGTGAAATTGGGGTTTTACCAATTTTTAACACTCAAAGTTGGAATTTCAGCATCAAACATGGGATATTCGCCAGGAAAGATCAGGCTCCTTCCCTCGTAAAATGGGGATGTGAACCCATGGCCTTAGAAAATCCTCCAACACTTCCATATGATGTTGATGCAAACAGCGACCACATGTAAGGTGATCATTCCTGGGAAGTTCAACTGGGGACCAGGATATTTGTCCCCTACCCGCCTGGCTATGGTGGTTCCGGATATGCATGGACACACAGTTTCTTATTTATTTGTTGCGTCTAGTCTTCAGCCAAACTGAGTTTGGAACATAATTTTGAGCTATATATGCCCATCATAGTAATTTTCCCACAGTGTCACAGCTTGTGCAGTTGAATAGTAGCAGACTTTGCGTTGTTGAAACTATCCTCATTGAAGGCCAATGACCCCAATAGCACGCTCGAAGAATTTGTTTCAAGGAGCAAATGATATAGTTTGAGGAAATCAATCACCAAATACTTGAGACTGACATAGTTGAACGATTGCAAGATGACATACCCAAAATGGGCACACCTTTTCATTGGGAGATGAATTGATGTTGAGCCATTCTGAACAATCGGCAAGACGATGGCAATCCAGTGTATCTCAATCTTATGCGCGCGTCAAGTTCACACTATGACATTGCCAAATGTTTCCTATTTGTTTTGGTTGATAGCGTGCGTTTTTGATAGGATTGGATAACTATCCCCAACATTTTGGTTTGGTGCATTCTTTCCATCATTTTCGGTAGAATTTTTCATCGTTTTTATCCAAACTCCGTGTATTTTTCCAACATCTTTTATCGCCCAAAGATTATTTATCCACCATTGGATCAGTCCCTGGCATTTTGGCGGTGCACAAAATGACCAGCATTGGAAAACGCCAGTGTTTTCCATCCACATCCCCAAGGAATGGTTCTAAGTTCGATAATTTTCCTAGATTTGTACTTTTGTAAAGACAATCTTATCATGTTTCAGATTCATTATCCCAATATGTTCCGCATATCTTATCTCAGACTTATTTCCGGCCAATGAGATTCTGGATATTCCCACTGAGCCGAAATAAGTTTGGGATAAGATGACAAGCCAGAACCTACTGTCATAGTTCTTATCCCGAACATATTTGATCGTTTTGATCCCGATATACAAATAAATATGTGTATGTATATGTATATGTATATGCATATGCATATGTATATGGATATGTATATGTATATGTCTATATATACATATATTATATTATATATGTATTCCTATGACATGCCACAGGTGTCCCTCCGTCTTTGCGATCTTTTGGCGCCTGGTGGAACCCTTCGTGCCACCTGCCACCGCCACCTGGCATCGCTTGGCATCGGAAATCAGGGTGAAATGCTGGCAGAAAAATGGCTTCGGAAAGTCATTCGCAATTTATAGTCCCAATTTTGGAAAATGGCTTTGGAAAATTGCTTTTAAGGCAATTTGGAAAATTTTATAATCCCAATTTGGGCAATTCGAAGGAACTTTCAGCTTTGATGCATTCAGAAGCTCATGTTGACGGAAACTAGACATCTATTATTTGCAGGTCTTTGGTGCAAGGCCAACTTCTCTCGGTCTATCGTCCTGGCAGGTGCCAAGTCACACTTCCCGCTTCCCAGGTGAAAAAGATTCGCATCAAAGGCTATGCTTCCAAGACTTTTGTGGCGGAAATGAAGGCAAGATGAAGATGTTTTTCACTATATACATGCAGACAAACAAACTTGGTCAAAGAAACCTATCACTAGAATTGCCATGATAACACAATCAGCAACATTTGATGTAAATGTAATTATATGATTACATGTAGAACATGTCTGTGAATCTTTGGCCATCCAGCTCCTACCCCGCAGTGTTCGCTGTTCGTCACTTTGAAAAAGCCAAAGGTTCCAAGTTCCATAGAACTTCGAGGCCACACTATATAAGGTCTTTTTGGTTCGTGGTCATGTCTAGGGTTGTACTAACTGGTTCTACTGGGCATCCCAATCGAAGGAGTTCATGGCAGAGTCCACCATTCCGCCGTTTCTTCGCAACTGGGCAGCACTGCCGAACACGATGAAATCGTGAGTGGCACGGGCCACATGACGAGTCATTGATCTGAACAGAAATGGTTGGTTTTGTACGTTTTTGTCATCTTTATCTTAAGCATCATCTTTGCTTGGGGTCACAGCATTTTACAATATTTTACCCGTGAAAACTTAAACAAAACGCCTTATTGAGTCGGTCGATTTGGCCTGCATGAATTCCTTGTTGAGCACCTTCTCAAACTTGAAGTCGCCATGTCATTGCAGGAGTTCTCCCTATGCGGAACAGTTCAATGCAAGGGGGCTTGCTACTGAAAGCCATGATGAAATGGATGGATCACATGTCTAAGACGCAGGGGGTTGGGACGAAACTTGAATGGGGAAGCTCCAAATTTTGCAAGAATTGTCTGGCTGAGTAAGGGAACAAACGTTCTGAGAGAATCCCCCAATCGTGGACAAGATCTGAGTCTTGTGATGTCGGGCATTTGGAGCTTAATTGGATTGACCCTGTGCCAACACAATAGGGGTTGGACTTGGACCGGACACTTCTCTTGCAGTAGCAGCCCGACCCAACGTTGTCCATTCTCCAATGATTTGGCATGGCCATGCATGGCCGCAGTCGCACCACACTTCTGTCTCTTCATCTTGTTCTGACTTTCTTGTTCCACTCAAAACTACTGTTGACCACTGCTGACCATGAATAAGATGATTCTCTAAGATGATTGATGTTTGCATCAACCTATATGTTCATCAATTAAACATTCCCAAATCGTGATAGCTGGGTTAGACCCCGACCCCGAAATCAGTTGGGGCAGGTAGCGATGATCGATCCTTATTGTTGGCTGCTGCCTCAGCCGCGTTGAGGGCAAGCGGTGTAGCCCAAATGGGGATATAGCCTCCATGGGTGGACAAAACCAAGAAATGATGGTTGGTTGAGGTCATATAATTACAGGGTTCTACTGGGCCGTTTCATGGGGCTATGAGAAGGTGTATCATCCAACCAGTAGAAGGAGATGACAGACGACTTTGACCGCTACACATTTGCTGATCGCTGGTTTCAATGATTTTTTTCATCATTTTCTGGATGCTGATCGCCAGGTGATCAGCGTTTTCTTTTTTTTAGGGGTCACCAACTAGTTTGAGATGTAGCCCCTAAAACAGCTTAAGCTTTTCTTTTCTAGCAATGCAACAGAACCACCCTGGAAGCCTCGAGCATCCCAACTTCATGGTCTCCAATCGGTTCCCCCTAAGATTAAACGACCATCCTCCCCAAAAACGATGGTTTCTGGGGCGTGTTTAATATGAACGGGAGATCCAGGTCTCAGAAAATTCCTGAGGGTTTTCGCATCTTTTCCCAGCAAAAATCAGCATTTTTTTCCGCACTCCCTGAGGCGGCCGAACCTTGGGGCGGTGTGGTGCCACCAGGAGCTGCCGATTTTTGAGGCAGGAGTTGGGGTGGTTCAACGGCAGAATTTGGTGCTTCATCCTGGATTTTTGGGACAATCATGTGACGGCTCGGCCCTTAGGTTCTCCGGGACCCACATGCCTTGAATGAAGTCCTTCATTATGAAATGTGTATTTTGTCTGGGTTTTTCCAGTGTTTTTGTGTTGTCCCTGAAGCAAGTATCTTCAGTAAGTCTTTTGTGTCGTGCGGACATTTTTCAAAAATGACCGTCTTAGAAAACCGAGAATGTGTCTTCATCATTGTTTTTGTAGCTGATCACAAAGCAAAAACATTGGAAGGGTTGTCGATTTTGTCGGTTGCATTCTTACCACCAAGTTCACAATGTGTCCAAAGTACTGTGGGCACCATGCAAAATGAACATCCTTTCAAAATTAATTGCAAATACCAATGAATTTGGTGGACTGCACACCGACTCCTGGGATAGTCAGCATTTTTTCTTCTTCTACAGCGTAGCATCAAGAGCATCTGAAAGCATACAAGAGAACTTCTACAACGTAGCATCAAGAGCGTCTGAAAGCATACAAGAGAACTTCTACAACGTAGCAAAAAGAGCGTCTGAAAACGTACAAGGGAACTTCTACAACGTAGCATCAAGAGTGTCTGAAAGCATACAAGAGAACTTCTACAACGTAGCATCAAGAGCGTCATAAAGCGTACAGGAGAACTTCTACAACGTGGCATCAAGAGCGTCTGAAAGCGTATCTACAACGTAGCATCAAGAGCGTGATAAAGCGTACAAGAGAACTTCTACAACGTAGCATCAAGAGCGTCTGAAAACGTACAAGAGAACTTCTACAACGTAGCATCAAGAGCGTCTGAAAGCATACAAGAGAACTTCTACAACGTAGCATCAAGAGCGTGATAAAGCGTACAAGAGAACTTCTACAACGTAGCATCAAGAGCATCTGAAAATGTACAAGAGAACTTCTACAACGTAGCATCAGGAGTGTCTGAAAGCATATCAGAGAACTTCTACAACGTAGCATCAAGAGTGTCATAAAGCGTACAGGAGAACTTCTACAACGTAGCATCAAGAGCGTCTGAAAGCGTACAAGAGAACTTCTACAGCGTAGCATTAAGAGCGTCTGAAAGCGTACAAGAGAACTTCTTCAGCGTAGCATTAAGAGCATCTGAAAACGTACAAGAGAACTTCTACAACGTAGCATCAAGAGTGTCTGAAAGCGTACAAGAGAACTTCTACAGCGTAGCATTAAGAGCGTCTGAAAGCGTACAAGAGAACTTCTTCAGCGTAGCATTAAGAGCATCTGAAAGCGCACAAGAGAATTTCTACAGCGTAGCATTAAGAGCGTGTTAACGAGTAATTAATCAAAAAAAAGACCAAGAAACGCAGGCGACAGAACGTTATTTCACCCCCCCACCCAGCCCCGAAAGCATAGCCACGATGTCAACGCGACCTGGACAACGATCAGCACTCGGAGAACCCCAGGGCTGACAGGTCATGTGAATTTCATGGGAAAATCGAAGAATCTTGGGAGAATTATGGAATAATTTGTTGTGGAACAAATAGGATACTTATGAAAAAGCATAGGATAATCATCGGGGAATACTGGGATAATTATGGGATAATGATTTGACAATGATGGGGTAATTGTAACAAACCATCCAAAAAATGGGGTTTTATGTCTGAAATCGGGGAGCCTTATGATCCAAAAATGGTTATGTTTCATAGGGAAACCAATGATGAAAAGGGAGTATCCCAAGTTTGTGAAACTCCCACAGAGGAAGGTATCTAAGATCAAAATCTGCGCATAGGTGGGTAAGAGGGTGACTTTTTGACCTATAACTGGGTCGTAACATGGTATAACGTACTTACTAAAAGTAGGATGGACCACCAAGAAACATGGGTAGGGGGGAAATTCGAATGTACAAATCAACGGAGCTGGGGCTTCATATTTTTGCTGATGCAGCTTTTTTTTCAGGATCTTCAAAGTAAAAAGGGACGGCTTCATTCGGTCAATCACTATGAATTTGGACCACATCCCTGGTTGGATGACAGATTTGCCCAGTCCGCAACCCACAAGGAACACTTTGGAAGCATGTAAAAATCGGGAGACCTGTGGGGAGCATTGGATCCTATGACCACTTCAGCACTTCCGAGGTCTCCCGACTTATGCGTGTTGTGGTCCTGCCACCGCCCAGCCGTTGTGTTTTTTGTGGCTGGGAAAGTGTTGCCCCATGGTGGGGAGAGATACTTCCCCGGCCTGTGGAAAGTCCACTTCAGAGACCTTGCACCTAAGATTTATTGACGTGCAATCTTCTGCGTCAGGAGATGGAATGCTATGTCAATGAAAGGAACCAATAAGTAGCATTCATATGCAATTCTCGCTGTGGTTCTATCAAAGTTCACGGTGCTGAAGTGGCACCCAACAAATTCAGCATAGGCCCGGTGCCTGCAGATGAGCACTGGGCCCCAAGCTCCAAAATTCACCTCGGCGAGCCTTTCTGTGCTGACAGTGTTGCTCCTGAGTGAATTCTGAAGCTTTGAGCTTTTTCAAAGGGAGCTTCCCCAGCTCCATCACTGCTCCTCCCAAGAGGGCATGGAATGAGAGCCCCTCGAACTGAGGGCCGCCATTTTGTGGCGTAGGAACTGGTGACCACATAAGAGTCGCAGTCGCGCTATAGCGGCGTAGGATTAGAGCCTGCAGAGTTTCGCGAGCCAATGAATCTTCAACCGCAGCGGCCTTTTGCAAATGTCTCAATTCAGCTCCAAAAGCAGACTCTGCACAGCTAGTAGCAGCTAGTAGATGACATGACCGGAACGGCAGGTTTTTGGGGAACTGCATTCACTCCCAGGATGACCAGGACACCCTTTGTCCCGCACCCATGACCGTCATGAAGAAACATCTGGAGGTGGAGCATTCCAACCGTATGGCCATCTAGAAGTGTAGATGACCAGATCCTAGATGTCAAAACCAGTCAAAACCATTGACCCATACAGGTTCTGCGACAGAGTGCAATGAGTTCATGAGTTTCCTTTCCTGGAGTGAATTAACGGCAGCCCCGGCTGAAATGGGTTTGGGTCAAAATTATGAACCAGGAACGGATGATTTCGCGCCAAAACTTGTGGCTTGTGAGGTGCCCCGTTTTTGACCCATAACCAAATCACCAAGTGAAGCCCATTCAGAATGCCTTAGCTGCTGGTTTGCTTGGACTGCGGCTCCGCTCCCCCGAGGGTTGAAGGGAAGATCCATTAACCGAACAAATTTACAATCCAAAGACAGGCCGGTTGCTTTCTTAAAAACAATTTTCATGTCCATCATTTTCCATCTTGATTTGGGAGGACGATCCAAAATGATCCAGCCACAGACTTTCTTCATCTTTCTTCTTTTTTTTGGGGATGGCTTAACCACTGAGTCTGGGTTTTCCCAGAGGAATTGATGATCCGATGCCGGGCGAACCTACCAGGTGAAGGTGAGCCACAAATGGCCTCGGCTTTGTTGTGCTCCACAGAGCCAAAAGGGTCGAGCTGGGAGCAGAGCTGGGAGTGGTCTGGAGGACTGGACCAGGTTGGAAGGGCAAAGACTCCCGTGTTCCAAATATCCTTATTTTCTTATATTTTCTCCTTGGTTCATGAATAGTTCTGGGAAAATCAATAGTGGAAGCTCCCAAGTCGGTTGCAGGTTTCGAGGACATGAAAATAGATAGATATAGATAGATTGCTGACCAGTGAAGTCGGGAAAAAGACCTCCCCGACGAGTGTGAAGCATGTGGACTAGGATATTGGAAGAGGGATCAAGCCTGCCAGATGACCAAAGCCACGGCCGCTGCACCATTTTTGCTTCACAGGGAGGGTGCGTTTTGAGGGTTGACTTCTATTGCAGACGAAGCATGGAAGGCCCAACAATTGCAGCTTGGAAACGGCCCTGAGGATCTGTTTTTGTATCCAAGGCGTAGTCTCCTCCCAAGGATGCTGGATTTGGAAAGGTGTTGATTTCTTTGGTGCAAGAGTATCAGCTGGATTTTGGGACTTGCCAAGCCATAGGCTTGACCTTCTCCTCCCTTGGGCGAACGCAGTGGCAACCCCAGGCAGGCTGCCGGAGCTTTGCAAGGATAGGCAAGGTAAACTGCCACGACTTTTCTGCTTTCTTGCTAGTTTCAAGGCAGTAGCCAGGTGCATCACCGCAGCCATCTTGACCCATTTGTTGCCACTACCCAGATGAGATGTAGCAATTTTCTTCCGCTTTGGAGCCGTTTTGGCCCAATCACCCTGCCGTGTTTGTCCGTGTGGCACCAGACACAAAAGGAGCCAAGCATGCAGCCTCTTCCCATGCTGGCACCATCTTTGCACGCGCCACCATCACCTCAGATAGGTGCTGCTGCTCCGCCGTCCGGTCTGGGCTGGAAAGCCTGCCACTTATTGCCCATGACAGGCCTTGTCTTCGCAAGCTACAAAAGGTCTGGCTGGGTGACTCGCCACCAAAGAGGTCCCAAGATTGAGGCACCAACTTCCACAAACAATGAGATGAAGGAATTTCGCAAGAAATTCTTGAAGAAATTTGGAGAAGATGCCATTGTGAACTTTGATCAGACAACTGCGCAAGTGCCCGTGTTTTCCACAGGAGCTTTGACCCTGGATCTGGCCCTGGGTGGTGGTTTGCCATATGGAAAGTTGGTGGAAGTCTATGGACCTGAACAAAGTGGCAAAACAACCTTGGCTTTGTCTTGCTGCGTGTCTCTACAGAAGTCGGGACGTCGCAAGAACTGCGCTTTCATTGATGTAGAGCACGCTTTGAATACGGACTGCTTGGCGGTTTGTTCTTTCTCACTTTCTCTTATTATGCCATACTTGGGATGATTGTTGATGATTATTATTAATTATTATGATCAAACTGACAATCTTCAGTTTTGGGGTCTGGGGTGTAGTCCTACCTAGCCAACACAGGACTACGCGAGGCAGATGGGTCTGGATTTGGATCACTTTACGGTGACTCAACCCAATTCTGCAGAGGAGGCCTTAGACCAGGCAAACGCATTTGCCTCATCCCATCTGTTTGACATCATCGTGATCGACAGTGTGGCGCAGCTGGTTCCACAGGAAGAGGGTGAGAAGACCATGGGTGAACGGACTATTGGTCTGCGAGCGAGGTTGCTGAGTCAGTTCTGTCGTAGCTCTGTTCCAACTTAGCTGTCAATTTCTAATTTTATTCAGCTGGGGTTTCATCGCAAATCTAGAGTCGGACTAGTCAAGTGGATCACAGTGGATCTTGAGTTTGCTAAGTTTGCTAAGGCATAGTCATTCCAGAACTCACCTCTTCCGAAACCACGGTGATGTGCATCAACCAGCTTCGGGCCAACATTGGTGGCTATGGCTTGTCAGAAGACACCGTGGGTGGCAAGGCCATCAAATATGCTGCTTCGGTGCGCATGGAGGTCCGGTCTCCACAGTCCGGAAAGATTGGACCAGCAGAACAGCCCACTGGGATCCGTTCCAAAGTGAAGGTGGTGAAGAACAAGTTGGCAGCACCATACCGCACCGCTGAGCCTTGGAATCATCGCAGAATTTTACCTTTTTTTCTAAGAGGCGTTAGAGTTTTGACAAGTTTTGGCAACCTTTTCCCATTGCTTTGATTTTGGCAGGATGCATATGTATACAGAAAGATGATAGATGATGATCGTCATATATATATATACATGTATATGTGTATATGTATTGTAATATATACATATATACATATATACATATATACATATATACATATATACATATATACATATATACATATATACATGTTACATATATATATATATAAATACATGTATATGCCTGCGGACCGAAAACCGTGCCTGTAAACCGCACGTTTTTGAATATCGCGATTGTGGGGTGGGGTGGGGGGGGAATGTTAACGTTCCTTGTACTTCGTACATGATATATTGCCATGCTGCTGACATCTCTGGGACCGTTTACTACGTTACATGTTGCTACGCTGCTGCTGGGGTGGGGTGGGGTGGGGGCGAGCATGTTAACGTTCCTTGTACTTCGTACATGAAATATTGCTACGCTGCTGAGATCTCCGGGATCGTTTACTACGTTACATGTTGCTACGCTGCTGAAAGTGGAATCTGATGAAAAAGTCAATTCCCAGCAACTTGAGTGCCAAAAGTGACCTCTTGATGGTGTATGCTAGAGCTTGGCAATGGAGATGCATTCACAAGAATGCTGACTGCCAGCTGATAACGGTGCATGCGTTGCAGCGATGACGCTGAAAAGCCAAAAAACGCGCCCCAAGTTTTTCCAGGATTTCCAATCATCAAATCAGCACGGCACTGTGGTAAAATCACCCTTTTTTAAAAAAACGTGCGTTTTATGGGCACGGTTTCCGGTCCGGCGGGATGTATATGTATATGTACATGTATATGCCAGCGGGGGGAAAACGGCGCCAGCGTTTTGACCGTTTTTGAAAACACACACATTTTTTATCCGTCACATGCACATCTGACGTTACGTCACTGGGTTGGGGGAGGTGGGGATGTTAACGTTCATATTAACTTGCGTCACATGCACATCTGACGTTACGTCACTGGGTTGGGGGGTGGGGATGGTAGCGTTCGTGTTAACTTGCGTCACATGCACATCTGACGTTACGTAACTGGGTTGGGGGGGGGGGATGGTAACGTTCGTGTTAACTTGCGTCACATGCACATCGTACGTTACGTCACTGGGTTGGGGGAGGTGGGGATGTTAACGTTCATATTAACTTGCGTCACATGCACATCTGACGTTACGTCACTGGGTTGGGGGAGGTGGGGATGTTAACGTTCATGTTAACTTGCGTCACATGCACATCTGACGTTACGTCACTGGGTTGGGGGGTGGGGATGGTAACGTTTATGTTAGCTTGCGTCACATGCACATCGCACGTTACGTCACTGGGTTGGGGGGGTGGGGCTGGTAACGTTTATGTTAGCTTGCGTCATATGCACATCTGACGTTACGTCACTGGGTTGGGGGGTGGGGATGTTAACGTTCATGTTAACTTGCGTCACATGCACATCTGACGCTACGTCACTGGGTTGGGGGGGTTGTTTTGTGTAAAGAAACGAATCAGAAACAAAACTATTCTGATTCACACAGGTGGTGTTGTTGATGCGATGTGGCCACTATCCAAGTCCGCCATACCATGCAGTCTCTCGACCAGATCCAACGGCCATGTTAACCCAAAATTGATGCGAAGCATCAGGGTGTGTCAATGGCGTTGGATGAACTCCAAGACCAAAAGTCTTTTGGAGCTCACTGGTCGCGCCTTGAAGAACCGTATGGCGATGTAAGGTGGAAAAAAACACCGCGCACCTTTTCAGGAACAAATTCCCTGTAAATTACAGGTCATCATCAAATTCACTTCAAATCCCCCGGGAATTTTAATCATATTTTGGGGAATGAATCAGTAGTTTCGCTTTGGCGGGAACGACATTTTTTTTCAAAACGCTCAAAGCACTGGCGCGGTTTTCCCCCCGACGGGATGTATATGTATATGTGTATATGATGTATACACATACAGTAAGGTAGTATGCTCATATACACGCAATGTCTGACAACGTAATCTACGCATATATAGACACCTAATATAGCACGTGTGATACTATACATAGAGTGATTTCTATCCACTGTATTTGTTTATTTGTCTATTTGACTATCTGTCTATCCACCGATCGATCCTTCTGTCGATTCATGTATCCCGTGCTTCTTTTTTTTTCTCTCCCTCTCTCTCTCTCTCGATCTGTTGCTATAGATGTATACATATGTAAAAGATATAGATATATACATACACACATTAAAAAATACATATATACATATATGCATATGTATATAAATATGTGTATGTATATATATATATATTTATAGATATATATGTGTACATAAATATGTGTATATATATGTATACATGTTTAAATATGTAATGTATGCAATGTATGTATGTATGGTATGGATGTATTGTATTGTATTGTATTGTATTGTATTGTATTGTATTGTATTGTATTGTATTGTATTGTATTGTATTGTATGTATTGTATGTAATGTATGTATGTATGTAATGTATGTAATGTATGTAATGTATGTAATGTAATGTAATGTAATGTAATGTAATGTATGTAATGTATGTAATGTATGTAATGTGTATGTATAATGTATGTTAATGTATGTAATGTAATGTAATGTATGTAATGTATGTATGTATGTAATGTATGTAATGTATGTAATGTATGTATGTATGTAATGTATGTAATGTATGTAATGTAATGTAATGTAATGTAATGTATGTAATGTATGTAATGTATGTAATGTATGTAATGTATGTAATGTATGTAATGTATGTCGTGTATGTAATGAATGTAATGTATGTAATGTATGTAATGTATGTAATGTATGTAATATGTATGTATGTATGTATGTATGTATGTATATATGTATGAATGAATGAATGTATGTATGTATGTATGTCTGTGTGTATGTATGTATGTATGCATGCATGTATGTATGTATGTATGTAAGGTAAGTATGTAATGTATGTAATGTAATGTATGTAATGTAATGTATGTAATGTAATGTATGTAATGTAATGTAATGTAATTGTAAGAATGTATGTAATGTATGTAATGTAGTGTATGTATGTGTAATGTAGTAATGTAATGTATGTAATGTATGTAATGTATGTAATGTATGTAATGCATGTAATGTATGTAATGTATGTAATGTATGTAATGTATGTAATGTATGTAATGTATGTAATGTATGTAATGTATGTATGGTATGGCATGGCATGGTATGGTATGGTACGGTACGATATGGTATGGTATGGTATGGGTGTATTGTATGTATGTATGTATGAATGAATGTATGTATGTTAGTTATGTTTTGTTATGTTTTGTTATATTATGTCATGGTATGTTATGTTATGTATGTTATGTATGGTATGGTATGGTATGTTATGTTTTGTTTGTATGTTTGTATGTTTGTATGTTTGTATGTTTGTATGTTTGTATGTATGTATGTATGTATGTATGTATGTAATGTATGTATGTATGTTATGTCGTGTCATGTCATGTCATGTTATGTTATGTTATGTATGGCATGGTATGTTATGTTATGTTTGTTTGTTTGTTTGTATGTTTGTATGTTTGTATGTATGTATGTATGTATGTTTGTATGTATGTATGTATGTTTGTATGTATGTATGTTTGTTTGTTTGTTTGTATGTTTGTATGTATGTATGTTTGTATGTATGTATGTTTGTATGTATGTATGTATGTTTGTATGTATGTATGTATGTTTGTATGTATGTATGTTTGTATATATGTATGTATGTATGTTTGTATGTATGTATGTATGTTTGTATGTATGTTTGTATGTATGTATGTATGTATGTATGTATGTATGTATGTATGTAATATATGTATGTATGTATGTTTGTATGTATGTATGTATGTTTGTATGTATGTTTGTATGTATGTTTGTATGTATGTATGTATGTTTGTTTGTATGTATGTATGTATGTATGTTTGTATGTATGTTTGTATGTATGTATGTATGTATGTTTGTATGTATGTTTGTATGTATGTATGTATGTAATGTATGTATGTATGTATGTTTGTATGTATGTATGTATGTTTGTATGTATGTTTGTATGTATGTTTGTATGTATGTTTGTATGTATGTATGTATGTTTGTATGTATGTTTGTATGTATGTATGTATGTAATGTATGTATGTATGTAATGTAATGTAATGTAATGTAATGTAATGTATGTATGTATGTAATGTAATGTAATGTAATGTAAATATGTATGTATGTATGTAATGTAATGTAATGTAATGTAATGTGATGTAATGTGATGTAATGTATGTATGTAATGTAATGTAATGTAATGTAATGTAATGTAATGTAATGTAATGTAATGTAATGTAATGTAATGTAATGTAATGTATGTAATGTAATGTAATGTAATGTAATGTAATGTAATGTAATGTAATGTATGTATGTATGTATATTAATTTTAATATTTTTTTGTATATATATATATTATAAAGATAGAGTTGGGATCGTGGCCAGCGAACCACGACAACCAGGAATACGACATGATCTTTGGCAAAGGGATCTCTTGGACAAGCTGTTTGGTGGAGGCTGGCCTTAGCAAGGGCCTAATCCAGAAGAGCGGAGCTTGGTTTGTGTACAAGGAACAAAAGGTGCAAGGCCAGGTGGGTTGGTTCAGGTGCCTCTTGCTAAGATAAAACAAAAACATGTTTATATAATCCCCAGACTTTGCAGCAACATGAGGTTTTTGTAATCATGAAAGCCGTCAGACCCAGGACTCGAAGGGTTGCACAGTATTTCTTTCCGCCACCTTGAGTCATTTGAAACATGACAAAACTTACAGGGCTCCGTTTCTTAAGGAGAGGCCAAGTTGATCCGTGATCTCCAGATGTGCAAAGATGTTGGGAAGGGAATTTGTTCTTTGCAAGGCAAAGAGAAGATGACTGAGTACTTCGAGGATCATGACGAGGTGTCCGGAAATACAGAGTCGCAGGGAATAAGACCAAAATTCAGTCTAGCAGATTTGAACCATGTTGAAACTAGCAGAACTTGTCTATTGGCAACGTTTTTTCACCGGCCGTTCTCGCTCCTTGGAGGAACGGCAGGAGCTGGAGGATGCGATTCGATCCCAGTCCCAGTCGTCCCCAAAGGCTGATGCCGAAGTGGTCGATCTCGAGGTAGAGACGGATGCAGCCGCGGTGACCAAAAAGGACACGGTGGCCAAGGCCTCCAAAGCTTCCAAGGCCTCCAAAGCCGCCTCCAAGGCCTCCAAGGCCGAGGAATGAACGCCACATTTCTGACCTCAAGATGACTCCGCTGGATTCCGCCGCAGAAATGATGTATTATGGTCTTTCATGGACTGTTTAATGCCAATGTCTGAAGGGTTTTTGTACCTGAGTGCAAAGTAATTTGGCTCTCTGCCAGTTTGAAGCAGGGGCGACCTGCGCGCTCGCCACCTGGCTCGACCTAATGCATTTCATGGATTGGAAAAAAATGACAGAAGCTGCTGGTCATACTGGCCCTCAGACTTGCTCGAACTATCTTAAGAATCTTAAGTCAAGTTCCAACTTGTCTGCGCAGCGGCGTTTATGATGTTGTGACTCATTTTGACGCCTCTTACTGTATTGGCCGTATCACCGAGATCTTGGCTACCTACCTATCTGCAGGTTCTTCCACTGCGACCAGGCCCGGTTGCGTTGGTGGGGCACATGGGGTACCGAACCCAATCAACTTCGAGTCAACACCTAGTTCTGGGTCAATTCCAAACACCCCCCTGGCGTAGCATGAGCCCTTCATGGCCATGCCAGTGCTTTGCAAGTTTCATTTGCATCTCGCTGGAGCTACTTTTCGGCCTTGAGCCAACCTCCTGATATGGCGCTTTGGCCATGGCTCCTGATCGGCCTTGCTACCTCGCTGGCGACTGAGCGTCCAGAAGTGACTGCACCTCTGGGACGGCTTCGGGGCATCAGCAAGGGAGAGGCCTGGAGGAGGATTTTTTGCTGAGTGAATGGCATGAAACTTTTGAAGTCTATGAACATCATGATGAATGGTTGGTGGTTTTAAATCTTGCCATTTTTCCATCCTCACCTGGGATGCTCAATCCTAATTGACTAATCCTTTTGGGATATGTTGAAACCACCAACCAGGTGACTTGAGTCATTTTTTCGTTCACTTTCAGTGCGCATTCCAGGGAGAGAAGGCTGAAACTTGTTGGACCATTCTGAGTTTGGGGTTTGATGGTCTTGTTCGATAGCAGCATTGCATCTATAATTTTGGGATTTTGGCAATGCAGTTGCTCCTTTCTTCACCTCTGCTGGAAAGACGTTGGTATGAGCCAGATATTGTCAAACAGCAAGCCCCTTTCAACATAAGCATAGCCCATGATACCCATCATATCCCCACCATGGTTCGTTTTACAGCATACACTATTCACTCGTTTTTTTTGGGGATGTTGACGCATACCCACCTCCGTCTGCTCACAGGTCCATGTTTTCCGTGGTGTTCCTTATGCCCAAGCACCACTGGGAGAGCTGCGCTGGCGCCCCCCTGTGCCTTTCCTGCCGTGGCAGGGTGTACGTGCGCTGGCGGCAAGACTAGAAACCCTCAACCTGCGAATCAGTCCAAATAGCAAAGATGGGTTTCTGTGAAAATAGAATCCTGTGATTTATCATCATTTGCTAAGTAAAATTGCTATTTTGGAGGGTCTACCCCATTTTCAGACACACCCAAATGGGTATAGTATCAGTCAAGATTGGGGGGTCCAGCACCCACAGCCTTCTCAAGTCATTTTCACCATTGAAATGCTAATTTTGACTGTTCGCCACACATCAGGAGGAGATGCACTTAGTTGATTCCTCCCAACGCATGCCATGATGATCCATGATGTCCTCAATTTGCATCTAACAGAGCTACAGTGAGGTGATGCCTCCCACTATGGCAATCGCTGCATGTCTGCGGGAGACAAGGTGCTCACAGGGTCAACAGGCATCGTTAGGTGCCTTCTCTCGACGAACAGGGCAGTGGCTGCGGTCCACATCTCACTGCGTCCATTCAAGAGAACAATCACAGCAATTCGTTTCTGGAAGCTTTTGGTACCGCTTTTTGGTGGCTTTTTCTGTCACTTTTTTCCTTCAATTTTCAAGCCACCACAAAGAACGCCAGGAGAGCAGGGAGGATTGCCTCTTTTTAAATGTCTACACGCCTCGCGAGACCTCTGAGACCACTTCGCAACTGCCGTGTCACTGGGCTGGGGAACTGGGTCGAGAGCCATTCAAATGTGATCGGAAACAGCCTGGCTCACAACGAAGTCAGCAACCCAATGGAAACAGCTCGGATCCAACTTGACTTCTTTTCTTCTCTACTCTCCTCCCTTCGCTACTTCTAAACCGCGACTTTCAAGTTTCACCGTCTGAAGCTGGGATTATGATACCAAGGGACTTGTATCTACATCTTGGATGTGTTGAAGCCACCGAGATCCACCAAGAGCAAATGATGTATCTACATCTTGGGATGCCGATCAAATGGCCTTGAATCATTGTTGGGATTTAGTACAAATTAAACAGTTCATGGCCAGACTTCCGTGGTTGGTCGGGGTTGGAAACTTCAAGAGGTTCACATTCGGAAAGAAACTGGGAGGATCTTCGGCAGTGGCAAAAAAATCACCAGCAATTCATGGATTCCTTTGCGTGATGCCTTACCCTTCAGTTCCGCCAAAAAAACCATGAGCTTTTCGCCTGCTGGAGTTAGTTTGGATACACGGAGGTGGCTTTGAATATGGGTCCAGCGACCTCTACAACGGCTCCAGCTTGGTGAATTTCTGGCGCTCCCAACAGAGTCCCGCCCTGTTGGTCACCATCAATTACCGCCTGAATATCTTTGGTTCCATGGCGCTTCAAGTTTTTGAGATCTGAGATCGATCTAATGATGGTAACCTGCGGAGGTTTCTGGATTTTGTGTGTTGGTTTTGGTGAAGAAACTCTGAAGATGCATTGAAAGTGTGGTTTGTCTCACATTTTATCTCACTGGTTTAGGTGATACGCATGGTTTGGGGTGGATTGCAGGTATTTTTGGCACCATGCCAGACAACTTCAGAACCCGAGGCTTCCTCGGCAGTGACAAGTTGCGATATCGTGACCCTTTGAGATCCACGGGGAACTATGGAATTCAGGCCCAGGGCGCGTAGATCTTGGTATTTTGGATGAATGAAGATACTTCCATAGAAAGTCCATACAATATAGATTCCATATACTTACTAATTCAGTTAATGAAGATCATGTAGGAGGCCAAAGGCGATCGTTTTCAGCTTTCCAGGATCAACGTATGGCTCTGCGCTGGGTGCAAGAGAACATTGGAGCCTTTGGAGGAGATCCAAAGAAGGTGCCGACTTTTTTTGGGCCCCATTGGGTGAAGATCATAAGTCGGAAAATGGTGGAAAATCATTGTTCATCCATCATATTACAACAATATCCGAAGTATGATCATATATACGCACAGAATATATATATACATGCAGATTTGAAGTCGTGGCCCACCATGGTTTTTGACCAAGCTTGCGCACAACATGATACTGCAGGATGAATCTCATGAACCCCAAGTCATCCGACGTCTTCCCCGATCCGAACTCCTTGCAGGTGACGATCTTTGGACAGTCGGCTGGTGCTGCCAGTGTGGCCTGGGTCAATCCATTTGTCATATTGAAACCTACTGCGATGATCAAAGGAACTTTGGAATGGACAGTATGGAAAAGACTGTGATACCCAAAAAAAAGTGAAGTGCTGCTACTGAACACTCATTTACTCGACCACAATTAATGGTTCGACTGGTGCAAGATCCTGTTGACCACTTACTATTCCACTCAACCAATCCTTCGATCACTCAGTGAATCAACAGGATTGCTCAATCAGTCAACCAACCGCTCGCTGACTAACTCACTTCCTCACTCACTCAATCACTCAGTCAACCACCCAATGAATCAATTAACAAATAAACCATTCAATCAACCAGCCAATCCTTCAATCAACCAATCAATTTATCCCCTGACTTAGTGACTCAATCAGTTGACATCGGATTTCCTGGGTTTTCAGCATGCATTCTTTCTTAACATGTCACCTCAAGGAGCCTCTCTCCAGCATGTGGGTCTCAAAATTGGGTACCCAGCTCCCTTGATTTATGAGCACCTTCCCCATTATTTGGTGGCCAAGAATTGGGGGCCATCACCAACATGCGTCATGCCTGAGACCTCAAGGTCTCAGTGCATTTGTCCATGCCCCAATCCTTTGGTCTCTATGCGGGCGCTCTCATGGAGTCGGGCGGATTTTCGGGTTGGACAGCCCAGAGTATGTCGCGCAAAGAACTTTGGTTTCAGCGGCTGATGAACCAGACACAGCGCCTGGGTAAAGGTTCGAGGGAATGGACAGTTCAGGATGTCCATTTCAGGACATGCCGTGCAGCTTGTGCATTTGCCAGTACCGTTTGCTACTCACATAATATAGAGATGTAACGTCTACCATTCCTATCCATTCATATCCATTCATAGTAGATGATTTTCCACTATATAGATGCGGATTTTTCCATAGAAAGGTGGATATGTTCCAGCCATTGACACTAAGGTGCCAGGATTCGGACTGTCTCCTGACACTTCCTACAGAGGAACTTTTCTCAGCGTACCTGGCGATTCCACAGGGCAGGCAAGCTGTGGACCAAGCTCATCATGTGCTCATCATGTGGGGCTGAAAATCATCACCTCAAGAATGGAGGATTGAATACAATGATTCCAATGACAATTTTTCGGGTCCATTGGCACCCCGATTTTGAGCCACGCCACTATCTAAGATGCACCTCTCAGCCACAAAAGTTGCTGAAGATCCCTGGCCCTGGTCCCTTCCAACAGCTCAAGCGATGCCATGTGCTTCGCTGTGCTTCGCTGTGCTTCGCTGTGCTTCGCTGTGCTTCGCTGTGCTTCGCTGTGCTTCAGGTGTTGCAACGAAAGTTTGTTGGGAGATCCTTTCATCCCTTGGGCTCCAGCCATTGATGGGGTGGAGCTGCAAGCCCACCCACTGGACCTGCTGCTAGAAGAGAAGGCTGGAGCGACAGCTGGACCCATGAACCAAGCCCGTTTCAGGACAGTTTCGGCTTGCGTGACCAATATTAGGATGGATTTGAAGATGTGAGCATGTTGAACTCGCCGAGCAACTAGCAAACCCAACTTTGATGCAAACACATGTTACTGTACATCATATACATACATATCTATATAGTTTTTTTTGCAACCTGAAGTTGCATGATGCTTTCAAACGCCCCAGGTGAACCAAGTCCCAATGGTCATTGGCAGCACCGTGGACGATGGGGCAGGTTTTTTCCGGAAGGACTACAACTTGAGCGGAGCCGACTTCCTGACGCTCTTCGAAAGCAAGGCCGAAGAGTTGATGGGATCAGCTTGGATTTTGCAGTCCTTTGGTCAGCAAAAGTGGTGAAATCACCAATTTCTAGGTGATTTTCCCATGAATTCTAAAAGACTATCTGTACAGGATTTTTTTAATTTTGCTATTTTTCTCTCTGAAAGGGTTTGTTGGAAGGGGAAACACACTTGACTTTGGATGATTTCCTGTGCAGTTCCCATGATTTCTGCCACTGTGCTGCAGTACAAGTCTTCCCGAGCGCCAGCGGAGCTCTATAGCTCGGAAGCTGTGGCTGATTTCGCATGTGGCAAGCCATTGGGGTTCCATTGGGGTTCCATTGGGGTCCCACCAAATGGGCCCGGGGCCCGGGGCCCGAAATCATCCATTTTTAGGGGCTTGCGAACTTTGATCCATACTGAATTGACTGAAATTTGGGGGGTCCCCCCAAAACTCCCAAAATCGCCAGCTTATTCTTTGGCTCGGCAGTTTCCATACTTGTACTTGGGCCAAATAGGAGCAACAGATGATGTTATCATCGGCCCATTGATCAATGAGTAGGAGGATTGGGAGTGTGGGAACCACTACAGGTGACATAATATAAATATAAATGGAAAATTTATGGCAAGTTTGGGAAATGGGAGAAACCTCTAAATGCCATAAACCTACCATTCGGGGATGGTTGACGTCCCACTTTATGAGGAATCTCACGACTGTGTGCCCGGCCTTGGTGATGGCTGGTGGTCTGCTGAGCGAGTGGTCACCGACCAGATGCTTGGAATCCACGGGGGGAAAGCCTGGATCTTGCCATGGGAAAACCCCTGTTGGTTGATGATTATATATTGAAACCATATATTATAGAGGATGATACTACCCAATATATTGCTACCCAATATATTGGGGATCAACATTGAAATCCAATTGGGGAATCCCTCAAAAAACCAACCAGCATAATGGAATGATAAAGGGATTTTGAACACTGCTCAATTCCATCCATTGGTATATCATCACTTTTTCAATTTACATAGCCATAGACTTGGGATACAACCCCAATCTGCAGCCATGAACCTTGTAGAAACCTCTCGGGATTGGAGGTCTCACTTTGAGATGCAATGGGTACCTAAGAACCACAATCTCGTCTCATTTTGACCATTTTGCATCCTGGGCGTAGGGGAACATCTGCCGGAAACCTCTGGGGTGGTAAAAGCCATCGTTTTCTGCAAGTTTCCATTAAACCAGCCTTGCGCTGTATGTGCTCTTTTTTTCTTTAATTCAAATTGTTGAGTTTTATGGATATCTAAGAGAGTGCGCCAGGTGGTGTCTTTCAAACACCCAGCAAACACTGATCTCACGGAATACTCAAGTTCCAGGATTTGCTGGCACTTTAATCCAAACGATGGGTGTCATGGTACGTGTCAACATTTAAGACCGCCGAATTGCCGAATCTGCAGATTGATGGGATTGAAGCATTCAACTTTTTGTTACACCATCCTTTTTTGTAGGTATATATGCTGGCGTTTCTCTCTGTTTTGGTTGGCCACTTTTTTGCTCAATCCATCTATGCATTGGTTGCTTGATTTTCATATTCTGTTGAGATGCAGCTGTAATTTCTAGTTTGTTCAAGCCCAAGCTCGTATTCTCTAATCGCTTCCCCCGAATACTTGTATGACATACCCATTGGAAACATTTGGAAGCCTGTTTCAGTATTGGATTTATTCGCCGAATGAGGGTATTTGATAGCGTGGAGAAAAGATGACTTTCCAACTGATCATGGTGAGGAACTTCTTTTGCAGCAGCCACTTCGCCCGACGCACTTTGGCGCCTTCAACACCAATCTTTGGGTACCTGCACCTTGTCGAAACACTGTGGGACCCAACTACGATGTATGTAGAAACACAGATGTAGAACCACCAAGATGTAGAACCACCAAAAGAATATCAAACATGTCTGCATGCATGTAGAAGCACCAAGATGGATTTGAACTTGAGCACAAAAGGTCAGGATAAGCTCGGCACCAAAATGAGGATGGAGGAACCACAAATTGAAAGAAGCCACAGGGATCCGGCTTTTCAAACATTGGGATCTCAATCATTTCCCGTTTCATGGTCGTTTCTTGCCGCAGCCGCTCCTTGAGGTTTGCCCACTCTAAGGGTGGCAATCCGGTTGTGACACACTCGGATGACTTGCCGTTTGCTTCTTGGTTGCAGGAACTGCACTGGTCGAAGCTGTGCGCGACATCAGAATTGTAGAATGGTGATGGTAGGACCATGTAGGACCACTGAAAGGACCCAAGGAAGAGGTGATTCTTTGCTTCTGGATTTCGATGTTGTGGCTTGGCAAAGGTTTTCATGGACTTGCCGAAGAATGCATCTTCTGAAGATCATCAGTTGGCTGCGGATGTGGCAATGCCGCTTGGCTAGTGGTGCTGGTGGTTGATTGTCAATGGAACCCAAGATGGGAAGAGCACAGCAATAAGAGTGGTTGCACACGGAAAGAGTAGACAACCCTCAAACAATGTATCTCATATTTGGACTACCCAAATCTTGACACACTCACATTTTACATGTATGGATCAACACCCTGATACCTACTGTAGGACATTGTTTTCACTCCGAAATTCCTGATTTCTTGCTGGATGTTCATGATGTTCATCCATTCTGACGGTCCCCATAGGTGCTGAGCTCTTTTTTTGTCACGATTTGGGTGGTCAAACTTATTGATGAAACATGGATGGTGTGACACGGTGTGATCGTTATCAAAGACTACAAGTGACAAGCTTTCGTTGTGCGCCTGGTACCATTGGTACTGCAGGTCGTGGAATCGCTTTGCTGCTTCGGGTCAGCCAGATGCCCCAGATGCCTGGCCGCGGCAGTCGTCGAAGGTGGGGAATTCGTGGGTCATGGTGGTGACATGTGGTGACCCAGGCAATTGCCATAGAATTCATAGAAGATCTTGACCCATACCCTCTGGCAAACTAACATAGCTATGGAAAGTCATCCGTTTTAATGGACCATTTTCAATACATAGCTATGTTAAATTAGCAGAGAGTAATTGGGAATATCTTGACTGACAGTATTTTTGGGAAGTGACTGAAGCAACCATCAACATATTGGAGTGGGGATATAAATGGATGTACTTGGGAACATTTGACATATATCTTTGGCAAATATAGAAATGACTAGTGACTAGAACTCCAAGAGTAAAATCCCAGGTGGGTTGAATATGTACCAAGATTTTCCAAGTTGTCATGAAAAAGATTCATCCAGGACCAAAATTACTTGGAGACTGTGACCTGCAATTTTTGGGGTCCCACTGGCTGGAGCTCTGATTTCCACTCACAACAAATGAGGCAAGGCTGTGCTTAGTTAAGACCCTTCCACTTCGAGTAACGCCTTCAACTTTGAGTGCCGCCTTCAACTTTGAATATGATTTCCGACTGACCTTAATTTTGGCAACCTTCACAGTGACTTCAGTCAAGGTCAGCCGTCTCTGGACGCTTTTTTCGATCGCCAGGCTGCTCCCATTCTGAAGTTCCAGGTTTCATCTAAGGGTGGCAATCAGGCCTCGGATGTCTGCTGAAGCTATTGACCGTTCATTGATCCATAAATTGTTTCCATGAACAAGGATCCAACAAAAGAGTGGGTTAAGCCCCAGATGGATCTGTTTGTCAATTACACAAACGCTGCTGGTGCCGAAAAGTAGCTTTCCTTCGAAAAGAGGACCATGCCAGCCCACATGAAATTGGAAAGAACATTGACGAATATATATATATATATATGTATAATTAATAATAAGCACAACAATAATAATTATAATAATGATAATAATGAATAATATATGTAATAACAATGACAATATGTACATATAATAATAATAATAATAATCATATATATATATATATACATACATATCACAGATCCTGATATTGGCGGGGAAATCAAGACAACCAGTTGGGTTTCGGAGAGAAGCTGCCAGGTGATGGATGGCAATTTCCGAGATCAGCAGTGTGCGTTCATGATAAGATGGCTCAACAGCACCCTTCTCGATGATTTCACCGCAGCTACAAGCGTTGCGACTCTTCCCACTTCGCAGCCTAAACTTGAGCAGGAAGTGACAGAAAATGTTGTGTGATGCTGTTGTGAGGCCATTTGTGGTCTCGGTGCCTGCTTGAGCTCCCTATTGGACCTTCCGGGCCGAGTGGGCTGTGATGGCGACAAAAGTGCGTCGCAGTGGAACCATCCAGCAGCGCCATGTTTTCTTTGTGTGTCTCTGCACATGGGTATGGCTACCAAACGAAACCCTGGACCCCTGGTCCCCTGGTCTTACCACAAGAATAGCTGAGAGACAGATGTTCATCCAGTCACCAGGAATTTTCATAGCCACTGACTCAACCCCGTCTGGCAATGACTCAAAAATAGATATCCGAACAATTTGGACCAGCCTTGCAGGTCCATTGGTACCCCTGACTCAACCCATGCGACGCGAGGCCCTACCCAACAACGGGCAGCTGCTGTGATTGGCACAGAACGCGGTGCTGCACCATGCACTCCGCGCGCGCGGCTCAATGGAGCGGCTGCGCTGTGTGCCGCTGCAGCAACGTGGGCAGGCGAAGTGCTGTGTTGCCCGATGTGGGTTTCTGCGGACATGTTTAACTTGCACAAAATTGTAATTGTTGGGGAAAGATATGATCAACACTTGGATTTTGGAATAGACACAATTGTTGAACAAACCCATGGGTCAAGATTTTGGTGGACCGACAGAATTGGTCACGTTCAGTCGATGATTTTGACCCAACATGTTGTTTTTTATTTTAGACACCAAGAATTGCATGATTTGGTGATCTTGTTTTTGTTTCTTTTTCTTCAGATTTCAGCCTTTGTCTTACACTGTTTTGGGATCCATCATAGGGTATCCCAATGAATGATTCACTTATCTCGACTCTGGAGATGACCATGGCTGCTGTAGAATAGCAAGACACAAAAAGATAGAACTGTCATGATCATTATTCATCACTATTACTGATCATCTTATCACTCTTATCATCTTTTCTCATCATTTATCACTATTTTAGATTATTTTAGACTATTTTAGATGATTTTAGATGATTTATGATAGATAAAATAGTAATACAGTATATCCTTTCTCATCATTTTATCACAATATTTAGATATTTATCTATCAGGATTTCACTTTTCCAAATTTCTTTTATGGCTTTGGATGGGTGAATTCACCCGCCCTTGGGCACCCAGGACAGAAAACGCGCCGGCGGGGTCGCTTTATGGCCAGGAGGGTTTCCTGGCGCACGTTTCGATGCTGAGGTTCTGGGTGTTGGACCATTATAACCAATTATAAACCATTATTTACCTCTATAAACCATCATCGATGTTTTTTTGGTGTATTTGTTTCTCCTTCTTTCGTCTTTAGTCTTTCATAGTTTCCTTCCTAGTTTTACGTTTTTGATGGTAACAGAGACTAAAGGTAGTATTTTTATATAGCTGATGCTGACGATGCTGCAGATTTTGATGTTGATGCTGAAGTTTGTGCTCCGGTTGTGATCGTTGTTGCGGTTGTTGCGGCTGCTTGGAGCTTCTCGATTGTCATTGTATGTGTTTTCTGTTGAAGAGTATGACACTGATCGAGCTTTACTTGATGAGATCCGTGTATTGGAATTCAAGATAGCAGGAAACAGCGCTCCATTGCGCGCGTTTCAAGTTTTTTTTCCTAATCCAGTATGGGGATGGGTCAATAGCTATAGATACATTTTTAGTGGGATGAACATCCATTTACGAGCTATTTTGGGGTTCACTAGGTACCAGGGTTTTTACCCATCCCCGTATAGGTTTGGTTTTGTTCATGTTCCATGTCACCTTCCAAGATCTTCAGGTGAAAGCTGCCAATGTCGCAAGCCTCGAAGGCCGTGGATTGTCCTTCTGACGTTTTTCTTGAACATTCCATTAATAGCCATGATCCACAGAATTGTTAACCATTATATACCATTATTATATGACAAAATAGACATTGATTCACCACTATGGACCACTATTAACTATGATTATTATAAACCATCTGTTTGTAGCTTGAAAAGGAGGCTTCTTCTCCCGAAAAAGTTCCCTGGCCAAGCCTAAACCGCGCCCTGGCGCCCTGGCTAGGGCCCAAGATGTGCATCGTGGTCTTCGGAGGCACTGGCTACATCGGCCGTGCTGCTGCAGGGCACTCAGCGGCCATGGATGGTTCCATGATATGGAAATGATATGGAAATCATGGGGAAAACCATAGGATTCATAATGGTCATCCATCCCCATCGGAATCCTGAGAATGGGCGAAGAAAAAAAAACCGGATTTAGAATGGACTGATGTACTAATATACAATGCAAATCATGGAAGATCATTGGTCAAGATCAAATGGTCATATGATTTTGAATTGAATTTTTGCTTCTTGCAGTGAACCAGCCATCTGTGTTTGGTTTACCCCATTCTTTCCCACTTCCCAATCGGGTATGGGTACGGTCTTGATTCTTGGGTAAAGCTGGTGAAGCCGACTAAGTGCATTCAAACCCGCAGGTTTGCAAAAAGCCATTTGAAGACCGAGGAAGATGGATTCTGTAGATTGCACAGATCATGTCTTTATTGGTCATATGGGTATGGGTCAATACCTATTAATACCATTTTTAGTGGGTTATTCACATCCATTTTAACCCAGCTATGACTTGGGGTTCACTAGGTACCAGGGTTTTGACCCATCCCCATATTTGCAAACAGAATGGCATCCTCCCAGTGCAGTCTGGTGTAGAAAACGGGAACGTGCCCCGGCGGCGTGGCGAGGTACTTGAGCTAGCCGCCCGCGGCCATAAGGCTGGGGCATGACCAAGAGTTCAGTAGATGGACCTGTTGTTGTTGTTGTTGCTGTTGTTGTTGTTGTTGTTGTTGCTTGCATCGACTCTGAACGTGCAAGTTGTGGAGATGAACTGTACGTTCTGATGCTTGACTTACAGTCCTGCAGTTTATAAGAGCATCAGTTGATTGGAGGCCTCTTTCAGCTTTGCATTTGTTAAGATTTTCTGAAACATCAGCCACATACATCTTTCCCTGTTAGAACTCCAGGGGCTTTTCGTAATCTCACAAAAACCCTACAATAAACTAAGCCAATTCTACTGGGGTCACACATCATCCTCTGGGGTGTTATGCAAGTTGTGAGTGTTATGCAATCGAACACCTTCTGGTTGAATATCACCGAGTCATTTTCCCGTGGACCCTCGCAGGTGGTGGTCTGCACCCGCGGCAGCTCTGGCATTGGCGGCAAGCAATCTTTGCAGGTGCTGAATTTCCGTATTTCCGCGTCAACGCTTGGATGGTCACGGATTTTGCTGCGCAGTTCTGTGATGGAAAGACAACCAAAAACTTTGGAGCTCGAAGCTTTTTGCTGATAGTGATTCCACCTTTGATGGTTTCTGTGAAGCTTGGGTGGGATGACATTTTCCATCACCAGTTTCGAGGCCCTTGGAACAGATTGCATATTACACAGATTTTTTGGATTCAATGGGTGCAGGACGTCCAGGAGTCCTTCGCTGGTCGGCTCCTTTGAGATTTTGATAGGATACTCAGGATGCTCAGGATGACTCAGGATGAAACGTTGGGGGATGGACATCCATAGGTAACCAGCTACGACCATCAAAACCAGACCATCTTTGTTGCTGTGAGTTGACCCCTTTTGTTTGCTGAGGATCTGGTTTTGTTGATCATTTGACATTCAGAATGGTTATCATCAATAGATAGTTAATACTCCTGTTCATAATTGTTTTTTACAAATTATCACCAATAGATGGTTCCTTTATTACGATCTCAGTACTCTATTGATGCGGGTGTGTTTACCCATATAATGATAACTAGCCATTGGTCATTTTTCATTCATAGTGAATGGTTGTCAAAATCCCCAATAAATCCCCATTAAATCACCATCAGGTCCCCATTAAATCCCCATTAAATCACCGTGAAATCCCCATTAAATCCCCACCAAATCCCCATTAAATCACCATTAAATCACCATTAAATCACCATTAAAACACCATTAAATCCCCATTAAATCACCATCAAATCACCATTAAATCACCATCAAATCCCCATTAAATCCCCATTAAATCCCCATTAAATCCCCATTAAATCACCATTAAATCCCCATTAAATCCCCATTAAATCCACATTAAATCCCCATTAAATCCCCATTAAATCCCCATTAAATCACCATTACATCTCCATTAAATCCCCATTAAATCCCCATTAAATCCACATTAAATCCCCATTAAATCCCCATTAAATCACAATTAAATCACCATTAAATCACCATCACATCCCCATTAAATCCCCATTAAATCCCCATTAAATCACCATTAAATCACCATTAAATCCCCATTAAATCCACATTAAATCCCCATTAAATCACCATCAAATCACCATTAAATCACCATTAAATCCCCATTAAATCACCATTAAATCCCCATTAAATCCCCATTAAATCCCCATTAAATCCCCATTAAATCCCCATTAAATCCCCATTAAATCACCGTTAAATCACCATCAAATCCCCATTAAATCACCATTAAATCCCCATTAAATCCCCATTAAATCACCATTACATCTCCATTAAATCCCCATTAAATCCCCATTAAATCCACATTAAATCCCCATTAAATCCCCATTAAATCACAATTAAATCCCCATTAAATCACCATCAAATCCCCATTTTAAATTAAATCACCATTAAATCACCATTAAATCCCCATTAAATCACCATTTAAATCACCGTGAAATCCCCATTAAATCCCCATCAAATCCCCATTAAATCACCATTAAATCCCCATTAAATCCCCATTAAATCCCCATTAAATCCCCATTAAATCCCCATTAAATCCCCATTAAATCACCATTAAATCACCATCACATCCCCATTAAATCACCATTAAATCACCATTAAATCACCATTAAATCCCCATTAAATCCCCATTAAATCCCCATTAAATCCCCATCAAATCCCCATTAAATCACCATTAAATCACCATTAAATCACCATCAAATCCCCATCAAATCCCCATTAAATCCCCAGTAAATCACCATTAAATCGCCATTAAATCGCCATTAAATCACCATTAAAATCACCATTAAATCCCCATTAAATCACCATTAAATCCCCATTAAATCCCCATTCAAACACCATTAAATCCACATTAAATCACCATTAAATCACCATCAAATACCCATTAAATCCCCATTAAATCCCCATTAAATCACCATTAAATCACCATCAAATCCCCATTAAATCACCATTAAATCACCATTAAATCACCATCAAATCCCCATTAAATCACCATTAGATCCCCATTAAATCCCCATTAAATCACCATTAAATCACCATTAGATCCCCATTAAATCCCCATTAAATCACCATTAAATCACCATTAAATCACCATTAAATCACCATTAAATCCCCATTAAATCACCATCAAATCCCCATTTTAAATTAAATCACCATTAAATCACCATTAAAATCCCCATTAAATCACCATTTAAATCACCATTAAATCCCCATTAAATCCCCATTCAATCACCATTAAATCCACATTAAATCACCATTAAATCACCATTAAATCACCATTAAATCCCCATTAAATCCCCATTAAATCCCCATTAGATCCCCATTAAATCCCCATTAGATCCCCATTAAATCACCATTAAATCCCCATTAAATCCCCATTCAATCACCATTAAATCCACATTAAATCACCATTAAAATCACCATTAAATCACGATTAAAATCACCATTAAATCCCCATTCAATCACCATTAAATCCCCATTCAATCACCATTAAATCACCATTAAATCACCATTAAATCACCATTAAATCCCCATTAAATCCCCATTAAATCCCCATTAAATCCCCATTAGATCCCCATTAAATCACCATTAAATCACCATTAAATCCCCATTCAATCACCATTAAATCCCCATTAAATCACCATTAGATCCCCATTAAATCACCATTAAATCCCCATTAAATCCCCATTAAATCACCATTAAATTCACCATTAAATCACCATTAAAATCACCATTAAATCACCATTAAAATCACCATTAAATCCACATTAAATCACCATTAAATCACCATTAAATCACCATTAAATCCCCATTAAATCACCATTAAATCACCATTAAATCCCCATTAAATCCCCATTAGATCCCCATTAAATCACCATTAAATCCCCATTAAATCACCATTCAATCACCATTAAATCCACATTAAATCACCATTAAAATCACCATTAAATCACCATTAAATCCCCATTAAATCCCCATTAAATCACCATTAAATCCCCATTAAATCCCCATTAAATCCCCATTAAATCCCCATTAAATCCCCATTAGATCCCCATTAAATCACCATTAAGTCCCCATTAAATCCCCATTCAATCACCATTAAATCCACATTAAATCACCATTAAAATCACCATTAAATCACCATTAAAATCACCATTAAATCCCGTTCGCCGTGTCGACATCTCCAGGTCAAGGTGACATCACTGTGATGGAGGCGGACGTCACCGATCCGGCTGCCTTGGTCCGGAAGCACGGCGCTACTGTTGATTACGATTGAACTCTGGTTGATTGTTATTGAATCAACAATGGATTAATAATGGATTGATCATTAGTCAACAATTATTGAATATTGAATACTAGTGAATATACTATTGATTATTATTATGACGATTGATGATTGTTTTCACTATTGATTCATTGCTATTGATGATGGTTAACAACAAATCATTCTCATGTATTGATGAGTGTTTATAAAAAACAAATCATGGAAACTTTTCAACTCTGAACTTTTTCTCATTCCGGACACACCTCATTCTTCACTTGATGCTTTGCCGCTGCGAATGCTGTGAAGGGTCAGCCACGGTGCTGAGGACAAGCTCTATGGCTCCTTGCAAGCCCAGGGTGCTGTGTGCTGCCTGGCGAGCCGATCTGGTGGGCGCCAGGAGAAGGGGACGATGGTTGTTTTTTAATTATCCAATTGACAGGAAACAAAAGGATTTTCAACTCTTGACTTGGGTTCTCAGTTTTTTTTGATTGGATGGTGATGTGGAAACAACTCTTGGCAACTTAAAAGTGTGAGACCCTGTTCAATAGGAGTTCTTCTTTGAAGGCGACATATACAGAGGCTGCGATCTTCGCATGGCAGAATCATGCATTAAGTGAGATTGATACCTGTCGATCAATGTGCTGTGTGGATAGATGAAAGTAAAGCACCAAGTGGTCACAAATAATATTCGAAGTGGCATGATGTTTACCAACCTGAACCAACCCATTCTTTTGAGTTTTTCTTGATTTTGATGAATCCCCCAGATGTCCACATTACTTTTGTTAAAGGACTCCTTTGACATCGACTACCAAGCCACTGTGAACTGTGTTGAGGCGGGCATGGCTAGGGTTGCCCTGGTTTTCAATACTTGTCATATGGTGCATCAATGTTCGCTATAGCTTTCTATCTATCTATCTGTCTGTCTGTCTATCTATCTATCTATCCATCTATCTATCTATCTATCCATCTATCTATCTATCTATCTATCCATCTATCGATCTATCTATCTATCTATCTATCGATCTATCGATCTATCTATCTATCTATCTATCTATCTATCTATCTATCTGTCTATCTATCGATCTATCTATCTATCTAGCTAGCTATCTATCTATCTATCTATCTATCTATGTGGTAATCCTGGTATGGTTTATTGGGCTACAGGAGGAGTTGACCAACAATAGGATGTAGCAAACTTTCCAGATGCCCAGAGGTGGATTCTGCCTAAAACGGTGGATTCAACATGTTCCATCCTTTTGGGAGTTTCTGTGATGGGATTGTGGTCATCCCGGACAGGCTTCTCGAAAGGCAGGCCTGCAGCAGTTTGTGTTGCTCTCAGCAGTATGCCGGGTCACTGAGTTGGTGCAGCTTCGAAGCGGCGAAGTTTCATCAACGGGTCAAGAAGTTCATGGGCCAGGGATATGAACCCATTCCTGGTTGGGGGTTTCAACATCTTTCATATAGGTTAAAACGTTTCATCCTTGTTCTTGATGATGATGATGATTATTATTGTTATAATTGTTATTATTATTATTCTTCTTATTATAATATATTATTATTGCCGGCAATAAACAAGCCAGGCGGTTTGAAACCACCGACTGAAATATGGTACTTCTTGTGGCACTATGGCAATGATGCACCTGCAACATGAGAAGACGCTTGATATGGAGGTTTCCGAAGTCATGGGGGTACCCCAAATCATCCAAGTCATGAACGACCATTTTCGTATTGAAACCCATGGTCTTGGGGATTCCCCTATGACTTAAGAACCCCCCATATGATCCCATATGAGTCCATTTGTATATGGATGATAAGATGTGAAAGGACACCAAGCATTTCCAGTGTTGAAGCACCTGCAATCCATTCCAAAGATTCACGCTTTTCCAGATATTTTCATCCGCAAGTTGTATATAGTAAACATTTTTTTCATGTTCTGGATACAATACACCTGGATTATATAATAAGTTATCAGTCATATAATATATTTCAATCCAGTGCATTTACAGAAGAATCAAGGATATATTCGTGTAATGTAGCAATGTAGATGTTCTGACACTGTCACTGTAGCTCAACTGACCGTTTTTTTGTGGAGTTTAACAGCGAAACACCGAGGTGTTCAACGACCGTTGCTCGCCTTTCAGGAAGCAAAGCTACAGGCTGAGGCGCTGCATTGGAGATCCGGTGTGGGTCGAAGTTGGGGTTTTTTAACCATCAATATGTGGGGATACAATGGGAATAACATATAACATGGGATAACATGGGATAAACATATTGATATATGTTATACTAATTGATAAGATGGGATAACAAGTATCAATCAGATTCAATCAGTATCAATCTTTGGATAAATGATAAAGATGTCACTGCGACATCACTGGAATGATGCTTCGTTTTTGGGGAAACTATCCCTGAATAGAGTTTATTTCAGATCGGTTCATTCGTATAAAATTTCTCCAGACCAATGTGGTCAAGCTAGGGTGGAATCAGTGGTTAAACTGAATGGGAACTGTCCCGATGCACCCAAAAATGCTTTGATACATGACCAAAAAATGAAGATAAACTAGGGTATTCCAATTGGAAACATCACGTTATCTTTTGTTGGGATTAGACACATTTAGAAATGTAGAATCAGTTTTCATATCCATCTATCTATCTATCTGTCTGTCTATCTATCTGTCTGTCTATCTATCTATCTATCTATCAATCAATCTATCTATCAATCTATATATATATACATATGTATATTGGAAAAAACCTGGATCCCATCACTCAGAGACGATGCTCCCAGGCTGAGCTCTGCAAAGAAGGACAGGAGATGGCCTACTCCATTGTTGGGGCTGCCAGGGATGGGAAAAAATCGATGTGTCATGGCCTACATCCAACGTGTCTCCCAAGGTTCGACCCACGGCATTCTTCAAGTCCTTGCTGGGCCAGGTCACCGGGGGGCCAAAAATTGTTGCGCCAGAAATGGGGTATCGACTCAGCGAACCAGCTGGGACGTGCTCCAGAACGATTTGGGACTAGCTCCGAGACGGTTTTGCATACTGAAGTCGGTTTGGATTCTTTTCGGTTACAAGACAACATCAAGACCTTTCTTGCTGTGGGTCAATTTTTGGAGATTCCCCAGCCCATCGAGGTTGGTGATCTTTCATGTCAGCCATCCAATTTTTAGTCGGAACTGCCCAACTCAATGTATAGTTCGCAAGATAGAAACGGCATGTATCTCCCAATGTTTTAGTATATAGATTTTATGCATCTAAAGGGTCGCTGGTCAGGTTGTTTGTGACAGGTGAAGGGCGTGAAAGGCGGCGCTCCCTTTGTGATGTTTGGTGATGGTACGGAGGCCGGAAAAGTGGGGTGGAACTGGTGCTGGTATGGGGACTGGGTCTATTTATCGTTTTTTTTGGAGCCATATTGTTTATTGTGACTATATGGTGAAGACTCCATATTTATATCACAATTATGTGGGTCTATTTATCATTTTTTTTAAAATATAACTATTGTCTACTGGGTCTATATCGTTATTTTTGACCAGTCATTGGCAGTGTCTTTTTCCAATACATGGGAATGGATCAATACCTATTAATACAATTTTTAGTGGGATGAACATCCATTTACCAGCTATTTTGATGTTCACCAGGGGTACAAGGTTTTGACACACTGCCATACATCAAGAATGACAGGTTGTTAACGGATTTTCGAAGCGCAGCCAGGTGAGATGCAAGCCGATCAGCGAAGAGGATTTGGCGTCCTTCATGGCAGATTGCTTCTGGGATCCTGTCAGATGCTGAGGAAATATGAGGAGGTTTGATCGTTTCGGATACCCTCTGGTAAACTAAGATAGCTATAAAAAATGGTGATTTATAGTGGATTTACCCATTAAAAATGGTGATTTTCCATAGTTATGTTAGTTTACCAGAGGGTAGGTGCAGCTACTCCTATCTTCGTAATTGTTCTCCTCATGTTTTTCATTTATGTGTCATGAGGATCAGGAACAAGAAGAGGAAGAAGAAATACAGTGCATGAAATGAAGGATGAAATTGAAGTATGACGATAAATCCATATATATATATAATATAATACATATATAAATCCATATTAAAATCCCCACCAAGTCCCAATCCTCAATTGTCATTCACAGAGCAACCCGCTTGAGGCGAAGAAAAATCAGATCCTTCCGATTGGTGGCCCTGGCCGTCCGCTTAGACGGACGTTGACGCTTTTCCCAGCGATAAACCTCCACATTTGCAGGGGATTTTCAACTGCCACGTGGCAGATGACCGGAGGGTGCATCATATTCATGTGACGAAATTGAGATTTAATGACGCAAGAACTACTGTGAATGGAAGAATATTGGTTTAATAGAGGATGGTATATCCTGCCGTTGTAATCCCATTATTTACAGTGTTTCATAGTTACCAATAGTTACCCTGGTGCAGGATTTCGAAACCATCCACGGTATTCGCCATCGCTCTGCAGTGACTCTGGGCTCAGAAGCCACACGGGTGCGGAGCGGTTGCCGCCAACACAGACACCAATAGGCTGGCTTTGGGCGGCAACACCAATATGGTCATTTTAGAGTATGGATCAGGCTTTTCTGGTAGACTTTGATCCATATTGATCCATATTGTCATATTGGATATGATTCCATATGAAATAACCAGTTGGTTTATTTGATCATATGGTTTATATGGTATCCATATTTCATATATTTTCATATGGTATCCAATGGGTTTTGTCTGGGAAATCTTCACTAACCCTGGGGCTTTCAGGACCGCACCGCCAAAAAACAACACATGCAGAACGACGAGGGGCGCATCGCATCTTGATGGTTATATGGCGGTTTGGGTGGTTGGGAAGTATGGGAAATCAGAGTTATGTGCAAAATAGATTTTAAAAAGGAGTTTGTTTTGTATTTGTGTTTTGTATTTGATTTGTTTTTTGTTTAACTAATCTAATCTAATCTAATCTAATCTAATCTAATCTATCTTTCTATGTATCTATCTGTCTATCTGTTTGTTTGTCTGTCTGTCTATCTATTTACTTATCTAATATATCCAATCTATCTATTTGTTTGTCTGCCTGCCTGTCTATCTATCCATCTAGCTATCTATCTATCTATCTATCAATCAACCCATCTAGTATATCTATATAATCTATCTAGTTGTTTGTTTGTCTATCTGTCTATCAAACTAATCTAATCTTCTCTGATCTTATCTAATCTAATCTAATCCAACCTATCTAATCTTTCAAGTCTGTCTGTTAATCTATCTAATCTACCTAGTCTACCTTTTCTATCTGATCTATCCAATATGCTTAATCTATCCAATTGACCTCATATATTTATTCTATCTATATAATCTACATGAAAGCAAAGCAAGGAAAAAACAGTTTTTCTTGAAGCAGATTCCGGTGCGGTCCTATCCTGTACTCTGACTGATGCAGGTTTCATGGAGTTTCCATGCAGTTTCCATGCATGCTGGGTTTGCTAATTTAGCTTACTGGTGTGTAACCTCCATGACAACTCCCTGGAACCTGCATGGAACCTCCATGGAACTTGCATCAGTCAGAGTGCATGGTAAAACCAACAAATGTAGATAGAGGCAACACCTTCAAAACGCACATGGAACCTGCATGAAATCTACATCAATTCTCCATGCATACAAGCACCGGGTGTAGATACAGGGAACATGTTCGAGACTTTTTTTAAAATGGAAACTACATGGAAACCATCAGATGCTTTGATTCAAATCGAATGCAAATCGTTGTAAACTGATCGTAGACGCACAAAAACTGTCATAGCATCTGTGCATTTTGATGTCGTTTTCACTAGGTCATCTGTCTTTGTTGATGTCCCTTTTTGTTTCTGCACTGGAAAATTCAATTTCTTCCAGAGCTCTATTTATCCTGAGTGTTCGTTGCTTGGTGGTTTCGATTTTGGCAAGGTTTCAAATGTGTTTTCTTTGTTTGATGGCATTTTGATGGAGTTTTATGTCTGTCTTGGTGTTAATTTGATGGAGGTTCCTAACATATAATATTGCAAACTAAGTCCATGCAACTTGCATCAGTCAGAGTACAGGATAGGACCACACGGTTTGAAAAAACTGTTTTTCCCCCATTTCAATAATAAATAGACAATTGGAGAAAACTGCACTACAAGTCAGTAACCAAGTAAACAATCACGCGAAATTATTGGAAATGAAATAGGTGTATATTTTCCGAGATACAAGATGAAGATAATTTGAAAACAAAACTAATCTGGTAGCAATCGTTGTTGTTTTAAATTTGTTTTCTTTATTTCCAACAATTTAAATGTTTACAGGGTTTGATGATTTTTGTTTTTTCTAAGTTCACAAAAACATCAACTCCCAGACTTCCAAACCACCAACCTAAACCACCACGTAAGCACTTAGATAGATAGATAGATAGATAGATCGATCGATCGATAGATAGATAGATAGATAGATAGATATATTAGCTAGATTAGATAGATGGATGGATGGATGGATAGATAGATAGATCGATAGATCGATAGATCGATAGATCGATAGATCGATAGATTGATAGATCGATAAACAGATAAACAGATAGATCGATAGATAGATAGATCGATAGATAGATCGATAGATCGACCGATCGATAGATCGATAGATCGATGGATAGATAGATAGATAGATAGACAGATAGACGGATAGACAGATAGACGGATAGACAGATAGACAGATAGACAGATAGACAGATAGAAAGATAGACAGATAGACAGATAGAAAGATAGACAGATAGACAGATAGACAGATAGACAGACAGATAGACAGACAAACAGACAGACAGACAAACAGACAGATAGATAGAAAAGTACTATAGGTAAGTACGATAGATAAGAAAGATCGATAAGAACGATAGATAAGTAAGATAGATAAGAACGATAGATAAGTAAAATAGATAGATTAGATAGATAGGTAGGTAGATAGATAGGTAGATAGATAGATAGATAGACAGATAGAGAGATAGAGAGAGAGAGATAGATAGATAGATAGATCGATAGATAGATAGATAGCTAGCTAGATAGATAGATAGATCGATAGATAGACAGATAGATAGACAGATTAGATTAGATTAGATTAGATTAGATTAGATCAGATAGATAGATAAGCAAGATAGATAAGCAAGATAGATAAGCAAGATAGACAAGCAAGATAGATAGATAGATAGATAGATAGATAGAAATATAGATAAGTAAGATAGATAAATAAGATATATAAGTAAGATAGATAGATAGATAGATAGACAAATAGGCAGATAGACAGATAGACAGATAGACAGATCGACAGATAGATAGACAGATAGACAGATAGATAAATACATACACACATTCATTCACTCATTCTCTCATTCACTCATTCATTCATTCATTCACTCACTCACTCGCTCAGTCATTCATTCATTCATTCACTCACTCACTCGCTCAGTCATTCATTCATTCATTCATTCATACGTACGTACGTACGTACGTACGTACATACCTACATACATACATACATACATACATACATACATACATGTGTGTACGTACGTACATACATATATATATATATATACACAATATGGTGCTGATCTAAAGGTCCTTCTATACAAAGAATTTAAACCAACCAACATATATAAGTCGAGTTGAATATGGTTACTACCCGCTTGCCGACTGGGATGTACATTCAAGTAGGGTTTTCAAAGATCAGTCGTTTTCCCATTTTACATCCGGAGTTGACAGCTTGATTTTTTTTTGAAATGTCTTGAAATGAGATGTTGTTCTCATCATCACAAATGGCTGGTCTTTTCAGTGCGGAACCATTCATTTTGGGATATGTAATTTTGAACCATTCCCACGTAAAGTGTCTTTAGTTGAGAATTTGAAGTAAAATGCTTTGGGAGCAGCGGCTCTAGGGGTAACGCTGTGTAGGCTATGCCATGAATCAGCTTCGCCTGAGCATAGCCTATCGGGTGTGGTCCGTTGCGCCAAGGTCGATCTCTACCTGCCTCGCAAGTGCTCAGAAGCATGGCAGCGATTGGGGTGGCCAGGAGTTGGGGCTAGCCTTGTACCAACCAAAGCTGGCAATGGACAATCCTTGAGGAACATCATCACTAGGATTTATCAATGCCATACTACTCTTAATAATTCTTAATCCAGGGAGCAACTCTTAAAAAAAAACACTTCCACTTCAACTTGCAAGAGTCGAAATGGGAGTCTTGCAGACAAACCGGGAGTTCATACTGGGTTCTTCAAAAAAAACAGCCATCCTATGAAGTACAAGACCATAGACGTCATGTCGCCCCCGTCCCCCAATTCAATGTTGTACTCTGAATTATGTGTTTGGCGGGATTAAAAGAAAACTGCCATTTCTGTTCATAGTGTTCGGCAATTCCAAGCACAACATTGAATTTGGGGGTTGCAGGGGTAATGTATGTATATATCTATGTGGTTTTCTGTGGATGGCTGTTTTTTTTTGAAGAACCCGGTAGTATCTTCAAATATGTCTCTCGGATATTGTGATGAACCCCCTATGTTTCCTTTCTAGACATGGCACCAGTGTTGTTTCTTCAACTATTTTCTTGGGTATAAGATGGTATAACTGATGATTGTTGGTGAATTCAACCAATTGGGGTTGTTCAACCCCCTGCATTTCCCTTGCTATGTCCCTTGGTACCTGACCTGGCCGAGGCCACGAACCGTTTGATCCCAGCTAAAGAGCATGGCGCTGTGCAGATGAACATCGCACAGGCGAACAGAAAATGCCACAGATTTCGGGGGTCCTTAGTTCCTTCATTAGATTTCTAGCTTCCTTGAAGTGGCTATGGGTCGAAACCTATACCACCATATTTATCATATTTGGGGAATGAACATCCACTTGCCAGCTATTTTGATGTGAACACCAGGGGTTTCCAAGGGTGCCATGACGCCCAAGTGACTTTGTGCAGCTGGATGCGCTGTGCCTTTGGATCAAGATTTGCGAGGGACCAATTATTTCATTTGTCGCCATGGCGGGCGAGAACAGCGTTGGTGAGAGTATTACAGAACCAAATGAGGAGCAAACAGTGCAGATCCAGAAATTGGAAGCAGCACTGACCAGTGAACGGAAGCGCTGTGCTGACAAGGACAAGCAGCTGCAGATGATGGAGGCTTTGTTGGGTCGGCTACAGACGCGCCTTGAGCAGGCTGAGGAGAATCTCAAGGCCAGCGATGATTCATAGGGAAGGGCGATGGGGCCGCATACCTGGTTACCTATTTAAGTAGAGGTTCGTACCGGGGGTAAGAACATCCATATACACCAACTACTTTGATGCAAAAACGAGGGTAATTGCTGTTGGTTTTTCCTCCATACTAAAATCTCCAGTTTTTTTTGTTTTGAAGATCACCTGAATAGATGGTGTTTGATGTTTGGCTGGGCCGGGCAGATGTGCTATGGTAAAAAGTTGGATTACATACTACCCAAATGGGGGGATAGTCACCACTCTATTATATGGAGGTTTCCTGAAATGGTGGTACCCCTAAATCATCTATTTTAGTAGGATTTTCCCTGAAATAAACCCAACCATTTTGGGGATCCTCCATTTATGGACACCCCCATACTCGCAGTTTTTTTTTGTCATCTTTCCCACTAAGGATTTCGTAAAAATGGGAGGACCATGGTCACCCCACCCTTGCAACTTGACCTGTGACTCCAAGGAGCAGCGCAAGACCCGTGGCACATCGCAGGGCGCCAGTGCCGTACTGGATCTGCAACAACAGCTCGCCGAGGAGCTGGCAAAGAGGAAACAAGCGCAGTATGCGTTGCTGGGTGTTTTTTTTCTTTTTTTTCAATTTTTATGCCGTCCGTATAAAATCAGATGGTTTCAAATATGGTTTGAATTTTCCATGAACTGGGTGGTTTTGGACATTTTGTTCTTTTCCACCCTGGAGAGACTGAGATGACGGTCCATATCAAGGATTCCTATATTTTTGAGTTCAAAGCACCAACCAGGTTGATTGAGAAGGGTCAGGAGTTGTGCGATGTTCAGCAGAAGTTGGCGGAAAGCCAGCAACGCATCAAAGAGCTCCTAATCTCCAAGAGTGCTGAGAAGAAGTCGGAGCCCAACAAGGCTCGATGTGACGACCATGGGACCAATGGAAGCCATGGCCATGGCGGCCATGGAGCCATGACTGGACCCCAACTCATCATCACTGCAGCAAGTCCTTCAGCCAATCGTGCCAAAAGCCCCATGAATAGCATGGCCCCGCAAAGTCCGTGTGCCTCCCGCGCCAGTTCCTATGCACCAGTCATCAGTCCATGTGCAACGCCCAAATCCCCGGCGGACTTCAAACAGTTTTTTCCCTTGCCTCCCAAAATGATGGTCCCTCCATTGAGCTTGCCTCTCAACGGAGAAAAGACATCAGAGTGGCATCATCGAACAGTTCGCGCTGATGAACAGCCGCCCATTTCCTATTCACTGGAGATACCCGAAATGTCGGAGGTCCAACCTATGTACTTGGAATGCCCTCTGCCGAACAGCGTGTGTCACTCAGGGTATCACACTCCAGTTCATTTCCAGCAAGTGCAAGTTGCCCAAGTCGACTACCCTCGCATTCTCTCAGCCAAACTTGCACAAGCTGCACAAGACAAGATGAAGCCCGCAGCCAAAACGGCCCGTGTGGTTTCGGCCGAACACCGCAGTGCCTGTGTTCCGCCACGGGCACTGCAGTCAATGCCTTTAGCACGGCCATATTGTGAAAGCCCGCGCTTCAGCACATGAAATTGAGCAGCTCCCCCTCTGAGCAGCGGGAGCTTTTCTTTCGTGTTTGGGCTGTGCCCGATCCGGAGCAAAATGGCATGGCTCTCCGGAGTCAATTGCATGGCTGTCCGCGAGTGCAAATCTAAAATCTGCATGTTGAATGTCTGGAAGCGCACAGTCAAAGCAGGCACCTCGGATTCTCAGGGTCCCGTAAAGTAGCTGAACACCATAGCTGTTCAATCTCCATTTCCGAGACTGTCCCAGCACGGGATCCTGACGTTGAATCCGACGTTTCAAGTTCTGCTTTTCATGTATTGGGCAAATGTACCAAGCTGTGTCATGTGTCAATGCACAATGCACTGTGTATAAATGGATGTTCTTTGCACAGAGTAGAAGTGTCTGAAGTATAGTTCTCGACATAAATACTTTCACCTGGAAGACACCAGACAAGCCAGTCAGAAAAAAACATATATATATATATATATATGAATTATAAGGAGCATAAAAGACGCGAGCAGCATACAGATACATCCTGTCTTATCCTGCAGAAGGGTCCTCAGGTATAAGTTGGTTCTGACCCCATCCAACTTGAGATATACCCTCTGGTAATTAACATAGCTATTGAAAATGGCCCATTTATAGTTGAATTGATTTACCTATTAAAGATGGTGATTTTCCATAGCTATGTTAGTTTACCAGAGGGCATCTGGGCTGCCCTCTGTCTTAGTTTCGAAGAAATCTTCCATCGAGGTACTTCTCTGCTTCTGCTCCCGGCAGCTTAGGGGTTGTCCGTAACCTGCATCTCCACTTCGGCAGCTGATTTCGCTAACGTTGCAAACTTGGTGATCACGCGGGACAGCGTGGCTGAAGCGTTTCCGCTGAAAACAGCGCTGTTGTGCGTGGCTTGTTGTGCGCTGGGAAAGGGCTTGTACTGATGGTTTGTACGGATGGTCAAAAAAGTGCAGAAGATGACCTCTAAAAAGGTGATGAGAATTTGAGACTCCTATTGGCAAACTGGAGGCTCTTGAATCCTGGGTTGACATTCATTAGCCCCACCATCATCTATTAATGATCATTATCCGATTATGTCCATTTCAAGGCGCATTAGACCACCATTTTTGATGGTAACATCAACATTTTGGGTTTGTTAATTTCCACTACTGTAAATCACCATTCTTTGTCATGGTTTCTGGGTCATTAATTTCCATTAAATCATCATTAAATATATATATATAATATACATATATATACATATATATATATATATATTATGTATATATGTATATTATATATATATATATATTAATTTATAGACATCCCATTATATCCCCATAGAATGGTTGGTTTCGTCTCATTTTTACGGATGAAATCTCCAGGTGCCCGGGGTGCCCTGCATTTGATCCGTTTCAGGTCGACGAGGAAGGCCGTTACTCCGGCGAGTTCTTCACCGTGTCTTTGGCAGGCGACATGGAGGGCCAATCATTTTCTGACCGATGTCTTTTGGAATACAATATATACACATGTACATACAAATATGTGTATGTATCTATATATATACACAGTATATGTCTATGTCTTTGTCTATGTGCATGTGTATGTGTATGCGTCTGTGTCCGTGTATGTCATTTTTCACTTCATTAGAGATGGGAATGAAGACCCCCAATGTGGCTTTCCTATTTCAAAGGGAGGGTGGCTCAAAGAGCCGCCACAGGTTTTACCCTCAGGTACCAGTCACATGGTTTGCTGGAAAACGCTGCTGTCATCAAACATGGCAATTGAACAAAATCCCTCTATCAATGGAGTTCTCAAGCTAGGAACATCATCGAAGTAAATGGTGGGATTTTCCAGCAAGCTATGTTTTCCATTACTGGTGGATTTTCCATTGCTATAAATGGGGGATTTCCATCATCTATGAATGGAGAGTGTCAAATGAAGCCAGGCTTCATCCGTCAGCGCGGGGAGAGCGACGCGTGCTTGAATCGGCTGCTCTACGAGAAGGGCATGTTGAGCTTCTCCAAGTGAGGCCAGGCTGTTCGTTGCGTTCAAGCCTCATTGGTTGATGATTGATGATGATTGTAGGGGGTTAGACTATCCAAGATATTGAGACTTATCACAATCTATGAACTGAAATTTCCTCTTAACCAACCAATACAACGGGACGACGTTGCGGCTTTCGAACACTGCTCATGTGCGCGTCCCATTCAACTCTTGTTGGTTGCTAATCAGGGTTATACTACGTTATACTATGTTATACTACCCTTTATATGGTTTTTACCATGGTTTTACCAGAATCCATCGTGTGAATCCCTACAGATCAATAGAAACCTTCTAGTGATCCAACTTTTTTTGGGCCCTCCGTCAGGTCCGAGTCACCTGAGTCACCTGAGTCACCTGAGCCAAGAGACGAGCGCGGAAACAGAAAAAAAGGGGCCGTTGCATCAACCTGGGCTTTTGTGGGACCTAAATGTTGCGGTGGTCTGTTGGTTGTTCGGTGATTTCAGTGATCCCCATATTTTTCTGCGCCTGCTGGTGAGTGGTTTCAAATAGTTTCAAACCATGGTTTTTATTGTCTTCCATTTTTGATAGTTGGGATGATTTTTGTATCTGTAGAAAAGACTGGAGAGACTCTCTCAACGGACCACCCTTTTCTTTGCTGTTGGCTCGTTTTGTCGGTGCAGCATCGTTTTCCCTATTAAAAAAATGGCAAGTTTTCCTTGTGGGGGTGGGGTGTAGTTTATTTGGGAACAAACTCAAATAAGATACCATCTGGTTACTGTATTTAACATAGCCATGGAAAATCACCATGTTTAATAGGTAAATCTCTATAAATGGGCCATTTCCCATGGCTATGTTAAATAACCAGAGGGTAAATCTGCTTACTTTATATCGAATTATATCCCCATAATATCCAGTACAAATGGTTGGTTTCTGGGGGTCTTAGCCAGCTGATCCTTGCAGCATGTGACTTCCCAGGTCCGGCCTTGTCTTTCAAGGAACAGGGCGAGTTGCTCTTCAGCCTCGTAGGGTTGTGAAGCCCGGAGAAATATGAGAAATGGCGAATTGGATTGACTCTTCTCTCATGGCATATAGCAAGTAAAAGCAAGTAAAAACCATGAACATATGATAAGTAGGTCATGTATATAGAAATATATATATGTATATATCCATATATCTATTTGAAGCGGGACTGTGATCACACGGGAAATTTCCATGTCGACTTTGTGTCTTTGTCCTCTGACAAGGGTGACCTGCTTCAAACTGACTGTCTCTCCTGTCAACAGAGATCTTGCTCAGCAAGCGGGACTATAGTGAGGCCGTGATACATTCTAAATTACATTCTGCAGGACAGTAGGTTGTCGCAGTTGATTGAACGATGAGAACTGGATCTTGGAGAGAAAGCAGCCCGCAGAATCACGTGAGATGCTGGTGCCTTTTCCTCCGGAACGGAGCCTCAGGCAGAAACCCAATTTCATTTGTGTCCCCTACGGCGTTTTTGATTTCGTTCAGGGAGTCGGACCCTGAGACTCAACGACGATTTGGGACGTGGGTGACGTGGATGGGAACTTTCAAGATGAACCCATTTACTGATTCAGACTTCATCAGACCAAACACCTGTACTTTTTCGTATTTCCAGCGTTGAAACCGGTTGGTGGTTTGGAATATTTCTTCTCCTCCCATCACGATGAACTCCAGACCTCGGATGAACTGAGATTCTGGACTTCATTGCCGGACTGATCCCTTCTCAGCTCCGGTCTTAACTTGTGTCCGAGAACATCATGCATGGGGCAACCGTGCAACCCCCAATTTATGGTTATTCGAACAGTAAAACGGATGACCAACCATCAATTTTTTTTGGGGGAGGTAGCCTACTGTCAATCCAATGCAGTGTGACGCGTTTGCTCTGGCCAAGATAGAGCTGTAGTGAGTGCCTTTGCAGGTCTGACCTAGCTGAATATGGGCGAATTGGTCGATACTATGCTGAGCAGAGCATGCTGGCACAGAACCCAGGGCGGTTGAGAATTCAATGCAAACAGACTGACATGTTACGTAGCTCAAAATGCCACAGACCTTTGGTTTCCCTGTTGACCCAATGATCCACAGGCACGGAATGGGTTTTAGGGAAAAAAACATCGGGAATCCCCGAAGAATTGGATAAAATGGGATAATCACTCTACTTGTACCAGGGTTTTCTGTAAATGTTCAATCAAACCAAAGCCAGTGAATGATGGGTTCGGACACAATGTTGCAACCTGATCAAGCCAAGGTCCTCGATCCAGCCACTGGCAAGTACAGTGAGGTGCCGCGGTTCGCAATGCCCGAAGCATGCCCAGTGTGGCTTCACCATTTTTCAGGTAAATGGCGATGTTTTCTCATATTCTAGTAACCTGCAAAAAGATAGAAAAGCATAGAAAAGCTGCAATCAATCTACAGTACCACTATTTTGGTAGAGATTTGCTTTTCTATTTTCTTGGAGGGTTGCTATATACAGTAAGACGGTAGTAGTAAGTACCATAGTCACCGTTGCTTGAGGCTTGTACACGCTGGATTGCTCTTTTCTGATATGGTTGGTTTTCCATCACTCATTCCGGTTCATTCCACATCACCAATTCCATCATGAATTACTACCAACAATATAGGACACGAGGATATACTGCCCCAAAATCACTAAGCCTGGCAGGAGCTCACGCCCTCCTATGGCAGGAGATGGGGGATGTATTGGCAGGTGAACTCTTCAAGATATCCGAAAATAGTGCTACCCCCAAATCATCCAAGTCGGACCATTTTAGTACTGACACCTATGGTTTTGGGGATCCCCGCGTTTTAAGACCCCTCATATGTTGGTGGCCAAATTCCATATTTTCATGCAACAAATTCTCAATTTTGATGGGTTTACTTTCCCACATAGCCAGTGGGTCAGGACTGACTTGCGCGCTTTTCTGACGGATGCCCTCCAGGACGGCAGGGTAAGTGTCAACTCATCAGCTATGGCAGCTATCATCATATTCCCCATCAGATGGCCCATTTGGAAGATATGCCGCAGACAACATTTTCAAGGACACACCCTTGAAGTCAAATCTTGAGACCCTTGAAGTCACGAATCTTGGGTGATTTTTTTGCGGCTATTTGGTGGTAAATTTCATGTCAATCCATATGGGTTTGTCTGAAAATAGGGTATATTCTCAATTATAGCCATTTCATAGGGATAATGATCATTAACCATTGGCTTTAGGGGTACACTATTTTCAGACACACCCATATCCCAACATTAGCCTCATTCTTCAACCATTCGTTTTTGAAAGTCCATCTGAACTGCAGTGGCTCAAGCATCCATTGGACAAGTTGCCACAACGTTCCAAAGGCATCCAAAGGCCAGGACTGGCAGGGAACATTTACTGGAAACTCTTTCAATGGATTGGTTTAAGGGAAAATCTACAGGAAACCATAGATTTTCCCATGAAGATCATGGGGCTTTCCTGTAAATTTTCCCTTAAACCAATCCATTGACTCTTGGGTTGGTGGGAAAAACCCACGCTTTGCAACAAATCCCTGAAACATCTGAAACCTGAAACCAATCCAATGGACCTAGCTGGACCTAGCGCTTCCAGCGTGAGTCGCGGCTGCAGCGGATAGATATTCGCCATAAAATCCCCAGTACTTTAACACAACTATGGAAGATGGCGCATTAATCATTGATTTACCGCACTTAAAACATGTTTTTTTCCCCAGCAATGTGTTAATCATCGAAGTACATCTTGTTTGCAAGATCAAACCAGCCCCTGGCAGCCTTTTCAGATGATGTTTGGCTGTGGTACCGCAGATGTTCCCAACGTTTTTCACGTGGGTTTCATGCCTGCCGTCAGGCATCATGGGCTCTGGAGCCTCCATCCACGAGCAGATACAGAATGCCTCCCAGGTCCGCTGACTGGGCAGGAATAGCTTGCAAAACGCCCAGAAATTCCAAGATTTGCCTCAACACATATCATCAATGGGAATTTCAGGATCCTAAAATGGAGGTACCTACCATATATAAGGCCTATATAAGGCCTATGTAAGTGAATATCACCACAAAATATGGTCTTATATGGTACAGTACCTCCATTTTGGGATCCTGAAATTCCCATTGATATCAAAGAAATTGAATTTGCCACGATTTTGCTGATTTTGCTTCATATGTCAAAGATTCCAAAGAGATTTTCCAGATTTTTCCGCTGCCAGGAAGAGCTACAGGAGGCCATGGACAAGATGCCTGAAGAGGTGTGGTTGGCTGGGTGCTAGAATTGACCCCAAGTTATCATCCCAAACTTGTCGTTTTTTTTAGGGATCAACCAATGGTTTTGGATGGTTTTGGGGCGCCTCAAATTTTAAGATCCCAGATTGATGTCGGCCCCAAGATTCAGCAGCAATTTCTCACTATGTTACTTGGATTATATATATATGTATATAATTATATATTGTTAAATCTTCGGGAAGTTGCTACACTGCATATCATACAATCCTTGCGTGAAAAGGAGCCTTTTTTGCTGGGTAAACTTGGCTTTGTTGGTCTGGATTTGTTGGGAGCATTTCGATCATTTCGGCTGGTGAGGAGCAGCAGAAGATCAAGTCCTGCTTGTCTCCAGAGGATCTGGCAAAGGCTGGGCTTCACCCAGTTATCTAAGATTGTTAGAAATGTTGGATTTTTCAGACACCCCAGTGAAGTATAGACAGTATAGATATATCTACCAACAAAAACCTTGTTAATCTACTGAACTGACAAACTAACTTAGCTATGGATCACCGCCTTGTAGGGCCCGGTATCATCCTAGAACTGGAATGGGATGACAAGGGCTTTGAAACGACCTGTAGCACTGGAAGAGTCAGCGCTTCCCAGTCGCTTCAAGTTCAATGGATGTTGGTGAAAATTGGAGATTCCCATTCTGAATGGATGGCTTACCCTCTGGTGATTTAACCTTTTGCCATGGTATAGATGGCCCATTGAAATAGATGGTTTACCTATCAAAAATGGTGATTTTCCATGGCTATGTTAAATAACCAGATGGTAGATCCTAAACCCCAACCATTCTGGTTCTTGAACATTTGACCCAAAAACCCATGGTTTTTTCAGGTCCCAGGCATACTTCGCGAGCTGTAGGTTGAAGCGCTGAAGTGCTTGGCGCGAGAAAACCTCCTGAGGGCCGCTGCAGATGGCACCTTGGAACGTGCGCTCCAGGAAATCAAGGAGCGGCGAAGGGCCAGGAGGGAATGGTTTTTGGCATTTGGGTTTAGGGTAAATCCCCTCACAGCATTTTGGAGAAACCAGGAGGATTTGAAAAGATGATGGTACTGGTACTGTTGGATACAGGAACAAACTCCGACTACATTCAACTGCTTGCCTTCATTGATTCCTGTCAGCTAGCACGGAGGTAAGAGCTTGCTAGACATAGGAAGTCACGCCAGATGACACTTTGATGGATGGCTATCACCTAGTACAGTGAGGGCTGTTTTCGATCCGCGTCGCCGTGGCTTTGCCGCAGGAGAAGCATAGTCAATCAGCGCCACCTCCACCACCCGCGTGATAGAAACTTGTCGTCGAATGGGCAGTTGTTGGTGCTGGAATCCATAGCTGGCAAAATTGCGAATCTTCCATGGGCAAATGATGGAATATCTATCATACTGACTTCTTGGTCGTCATGAGTTGTTGAAGTTGACTTACTGTAAGATTAAGATATGCATAAGTTATTAATGCCAGCACAAAACACCTCATTATGGATGGCACACGGCGTCGATGCTACGTTAACGATTGGGGGCGGGGGGGTGGGGGGGCTAATAACGGTCTGTTGCTTTGCATTATTCCAACGCGCTCTTGAAGCTACGCTCTTTTCATTCTGAAGTACTGTAACCTACATCACACTCTCGACGCTACGATCTTATCTTTCTCAAGTAACTTTCAACACGCTCTTGATGCTACACTCTTTTCTTTCTCAAGTAATTTCTAATGTTGGGACATGCTGGTTTGTACAGGAAAGTCATTCAGCAAAGAAGAATAGCCACGCACGATCACGCACGTCAAATTTCAGAATCATTCTTCCATCATGGAAAACAAAGTTAGTTCGTAAAGGCCTCAACATGCGGAAAAACATGAGTGTACTGGAAATACCATGTAAACCTACTCATGACTGTCATGGCTCATCATGACAATCAAAAAAAGGCGCGGGTTTCTACCAGCCAAACACGTACTCACATTGCCATTTCTGGGGCTGGGCTCAACCAGTTTTAGATGTCCGGCCGATCTCTGAGAGGTCTGCAACTCTGAGCATGGCCTGCAGTAGGTCGAATGAGCACAGCTTGATGGGCCCCAGGGAACTTGTCAGGAGCCATTGGCGTCATGATTTTTAGATTGTCTTTGTCAGTTGATCTGTGGAAAAGGGGCAGGCTCTACTCATCAAGCGTGTAATTCATTTGTTTACCTGAACCATGATACACGTTGCCAAAATCGTGCGATGATGTGACTCGATGCGAGGTTATTTGTACTTGGTCAGGGTGAGCAGGTGAACAAATCCAAGCCCAAAGTGCCAGAATGCAACTTGAATTTGCAGCCAGAAACCAGAGTTGCAGTGAGAAACTCTCAACTGTTTCGAAGCAATGCACACCTCACCGCTGGGAAGTGAAGCTCAGTGGTTGCTCTCTGTCTCACCAGAGTCAAAGACGTGTCTGTCAGGCCACAAAAGAGGGACAAGTTGCCTTGCTCAGGGAACGATCCCCGCTCAGATCAAATAGGATAGCTATACGCAGGTGGTAAATGTATGTTACATTATGTTACTATGCCATATGTTGTCCCAGAAATTTAGGATTTTGGACCGCACCTTTGGCTAGGTATTCGCAAGCATTTAGTCTTTCAATGGAGTGGTCTGGAACTCATCTTCTCATCATTTTCCACATTAAAATGGTCATGGATTGGGGATAGATCCCAACTTTTCAGACACAGCCCAGATCATTTTTCATGTTTCTAAATTTTCTATCTCCGATTCTATCACCAATAAATCTCCATAAAATGCAGGCGGTTTAGTCCCTAAAAAATGGGTGAACTCCAGGCTGCTCCAGGCTCCAGGCACCAACATCCGGCCAGGAGGGCTCCAAGAAGTTGGAATCGCAGCAACTGGGGGACCAGGGTCGCGGAAACTCAGTGCTTTGAAGGGGATGGCTGGGACATGGGACCTGACCCAGAGCCATAATCAAAATTCAAAATCAGTGAAGTTTCATTTGAAATCCATCAAAAATCCATAAATCTTGGAGGGTTTGGGATCATCTTCGATCATCTTTGGCGTTTTTGGGTCCGTGTGCACCTTCGAGTCCACATAGCCTGAGCTTTTTTTTCCCTCGAAGCGGTGGCGGGTGATTTTTCATCCAACAAATTGCGAGCTGATATAATGATGGTGACACTACATATGTTACATATTATTGTATCATGTTGATACACGTACAGGCATCTGACAAAGTCGTACTTGTTTTCGGAAAAAATCGTTGTGCCTTGGGGAAGTGTGTTTCGCAAAAGTCGTGCCTTTAGCATCCTTTAGCAAGAATGCATAGGAACTCTGGAGTTTGGATATGTAACCCGTCTTCTTATGAGATCACGTAGCTGATCACTATTAGCATGCAGAATTCCAGGTTGTGGGTATGTTGAATAGTTATAGGCTTATAGGTAAGATGGCGTTGAGCTGGTGATTTGATGATTTTGGATGTTCAAACCCAGATTATCATGTTTTTCCCGAATGCGTAGCGAAGGGTTCCCGTCTATAGTCTGGGGGTCTGGGGCCTGGACCGTTGTTCGCCTCGAGTGGCTCGTCGCATCGTCGTCGGGTCGGCGTCGCGTCGTCGTCGCGTCGTTAATTCCGTGTCTATGGGGGAAGCTGCAAAACCTCTCCTTTTCGAAGGTTTCCAAGCAAGTTGTCGTTTTGCGGGGCAGGCGTGGCACTTTGTCACATTCCAACCTGTTTGATAACGTGTCGAAAGTGTCAAAATTGGAGGAAGTCTCCGCGAAATGCTCGTTTTGCTGCGCCCACGTGCCTCGTCTCGAGTCTCTGGTTTTCCTGTGGCGTCGCCGTGTCTATAAAGAAAGCTGCAAAACCTCTCCTTTTCGAAGGTTTCCAAGCAGGTTGTCATGTCAGTTTGTAGCACAGAGTAGTACTGGGAAGTGCTTTGTGCAAGCTTTTGAGTACAAAGTAGTACTGGGAAGTGCTTTGTGCAAGCTTTGTAGTACAAAGTAGTACTGGGAAGTGCTTTGTGCAAGCTTTGTAGTACAAAGTAGTGCTGGGAAGTAGTTTGTGCAAACTTTGTAGTACAAAGTAGTACTGGGAAGTGCTTTGTGCAAGCTTTGTAGTACAAAGTAGTGCTGGGAAGTAGTTTGTGCAAACTTTGTAGTACAACGTAGTACTGGGAAGTGCTTTGTGCAAGATTTTTGTTACAAAGTAGTACTGGGAAGTCCTTTGAGCAAGCTTGGTAGTACAAAGTCGTACTGGACATGCTTTGTGCAAGCTTTGCAGTACAAAGTAGTACTGGGAAGTAGTTTGTGCAAACTTTGTAGTACAAAGTAGTACTGGGAAGTGCTTTGTGCAAACCTTGTAGTACAAAGTAATATTGGAACGTGCTTTGTGCAAGCTTTGTAGTACAAAGTAGTGCTGGGAAGTAGTTTGTGCAAACTTTGTAGTACAAAGTAGGACTGGGAAGGACTTTTTGCAAGCTTTGTAGTACAAAGTAGTACTGGGAAGTACTTTGTGCAAGCTTTGTAGTACAAAGTAGTACTGGGAAGTCCTTTGTGCAAGTTTTGTAGTACAAAGTAGTACTGGGAAGTGCTTTGTGCAAGCTTTGTAGTACAAAGTAGTGCTGGGAAGTAGTTTGTGCAAACTTTGTAGTACAACGTAGTACTGGGAAGTGCTTTGTGCAAGCTTTTGAGTACAAAGTAGTACTGGGAAGTGCTTTGTGCAAGCTTTGTAGTACAAAGTAGTACTGGGAAGTGCTTTGTGCAAGCTTTGTAGTACAAAGTAGTGCTGGGAAGTAGTTTGTGCAAACTTTGTAGTACAAAGTAGTACTGGGAAGTAGTTTGTGCAAGCTTTGTAGTACAAAGTAGTACTGGGAAGTGCTTTGTGCAAGCTTTGTGGTACAAAGTAGTACAAAAACGTGAATACATTCGGGTTCGTGGCTTCCATCTTATTGATTTCAAGCTTCTATAAGCCGAAATTGCCTGACAATTTGCCAAGGTGACCCAGAGAATAGAAAAAAAATGACGCAGAATCCCAGCGTTGACATGCAGGTTGCACACGAGAATGACATTATAAGAGAGTAGAACATCAATATTTTCATCAATCGCGTTCCATTGTGTTTCATTTGTTTTTAATGTCTAAAATGCATGGTTACACTTTTATTGAGGACAACGTTCCATGCAGAAAAGTACTTAGGCATGACTTAGGCATGACTTCTTGGATACAGCGTTTACAATGGTAAATGCCATTCAAAAACACGCTTGGCATGACTTAGGCGTGACATTGTCGCTTCCCTGTATATATTTTAATATAATCATACTATAAAGTAACACAAATATATAGTGAATAATGATACATATAAACTGTAACTAAAACTTAAAACTAAAAAACGACAAGGATAAAATAACGAACAATAATCACATATAATCATCATCATCATATATATATATATATGTATTGCAACATATATGTGTGTATGTATATAATGTTATTTATATATATATACACAAACTAAAAAATGTGGAACTCCTGAGAAAAGGATCCCAGCAAAGCACCAGCCACAACTTGGGGGCGCAATCGCATGCACGGGGATGGCCGAGGTCTGGGCAATCGCCTGGGCGTTGAGTGATGTGGCAAGCAGTGAATTTTTTTCGAGTGGAGAAATCTGAGAAACGTAGAACCCGGCAAGATCAATAGCAATTCAGAGTGCTTTTTTTTGATGACGCGTTTTTTTCTTTGTGTAAAACTTGTTGCGATTGGGAAGTTGATACAATCTAAAATTTTTGCAATCCAGATTGTTTTAAACTTACGAGTCTCACAGAGACCGGCAGATTGTCAACACGATTCGCGCGAAAGCAAAAGGAAAGGGTTTGAACATCACAAAATGCAGATGATTTGTCCCTTGAGATTCTGAAAGGCATCAATCTTGACAGGAAATTCAGGCTTGAAAAGCGATGGACCCACAAGTTTTATTTATTTTCCAAGAACACCGTCCAATCTTCGTTGTACAAATTGAGGTTCTTTTTACTACTAGTCCATCCCCGGAGAGTTCCGACCATATTTGCCTTGAGCCCCAACTGTACAAGGGAAAACTCGGGGTACGAAGTGATATATATATATATAGATACATACATAGATCGATAAAACATGTATATCTGTATACAAATATACATACATGTATATAGATTACACGTAGAAATTGATCATCCACCATGTGACGTCCATCCGCAAACTTCCCCCGGCGCAGTCAAAGCAAACCTCCGGCAGTCAGAAATGACAGTGCCCTCGCACGAGCGAGGAACCGCTTCCGGCCATGGCAT